GTGCCACCAACTTAAAATGGAATTATTCTTGTCACGTAGAGATATGGACAAATAAGTTAATTTCGGAAAAAAGAAGCCAGTGTTCACTTAGAATTTTTAATTTCCACATCCATCTACATTTGTACCTAAAGCTGTGACAGATATTTTTTCTAGTCTTTTTAGCCCAGTTATACTTTTCGGGCACGCGCAGATATTTCAAAGTAGCCATGAAAAGGCTCATTACCATGCGTTCTTTCTAATTTTTGATATTGTGGTAGGGCGTCTTTTACTAATAAATGATACAGAAACCAAACGGCACGAGGATGACCATTCGAGAAATAGTCAGCTATGTATATGACTGTTTTTTTGCGTATATCCATATATAACTGCATATACATACATATTTTACCATAGAATTAGAAACATAAGCAGAGAGCCACTTCTGAAAATGTTTGTTTGCCTCCGATTTAGTACTTGCCCAATAGGAAAAAACAAGGAAAATCCACTAGCACTGACATCCTCAGGGGCAACAGTAGACATCGCTGCAAAGTTAGACGTGGCTATCGTCCACCGTCCGACAACTACCATGCTTATCAGAATACTGAACACAGGTGAGCAGTGGGGCGTAGTTTAGCGAATTTCCTGTCATGGCCTTTCCTTCCATTACGCAGGTCGGGCAGTATAGCGACTAGGCTCGAGAATGCGCAAACGCAAATGGTCCGTTCGGAGAGGCGACTCACTGTCTAACGTCACTACTCACATACTGGAGGAAGGACATGGGTTAGAATTCCCGAGTACGCTGATATCGGCGCCAAATTAAAACAACGTCGGAAGTGAAATGCTGGAGACTTGAGTGTCTGACACCAGCCTCATAAAAAGACGTCCCGATATGCCCTCCTGCTATCAGGCTACACGACATCGCAGCTAGATGACGCGGGCAGCTTCCCGGCCAAGGATGCACGCAGCCATCACGCCGTGAGGCCAATTCGATTCAAGCGGGATGATTCCGACTAATTCATGGATACTGCCACTTTCCCTTCCATCTTCCTCATTGCCCGGCTACAGAAATGGTTGTTGCGCTCACAGAGTGTGATGAGGGGCTACTGTGGAGTTTGAAATCTCGGACTAATAAACCTACTTCTCCAGTGATAGCGTCCTTCAATGCTTTTCGAAAAGTACCAGGAGTCGCATATTTTCCTTTATTTATCTTAGAATAATGTTTAAAATTAAACTGAAAGGCAGAGCATGATTCCAAAATAAAAAGGGCAAGGAACGTTTTTGTTTGAGGCAGAAAGGCCATCAACGTTTGTTAGAAAGGCACATAGGTGGGCAGAATTTCGCAGTGGCTTCCCTGGATTAACTTTGCAAAAGGCGATCATAAGCGAAGTCTCTTGGTAAGGAACTTTTCGAGGAGGTAACTTATTAGAAAAATTTGTTCACTTGGTCAATCGCGTACTAAACGCAGGTCTTTGATGGGGAGATCCTTTATCTCCAGAGACAATGCAACATGCTAAAACCGGTCTAGGAAAATTACCCAACACGATAGTTCATTATACGAGTAAAAATCGTCGGAAATTTTAGACATCCATAAACTGTAGTAACCACTTTCGGCAACTGATGAGGGACACTGATACTCTCTAAATATTCGGTGGAAATTCAGCAAGGCTACAACACTGAAGGGAATCATTTGCCACTAGAAAAACAACAATATCATGGGGGTAAGTTATCTTGATGCACACACTATGGCATGCTTATGACTGCGTCTGTCAATTATATTCTAGGGTCTCAGTCAGTGACCGATCCATTGGCAATTTATAAAAAGCAAATGTTTATTTCAGTGGCATTTTCGTCTGCAACACCAAAAAGATCTTTAAAACCTAGTCAGCTGCATATAAGGTAAAGCAATTAGAAAATTAACATGGGCTCATCTTACCACAATTCTAACACGTAAGTTCAGATATCAAGCGGGTGACTGATTGCTATACTATATTTTTCGTTGATTCATTGGGAATCTTTTTCACATGGCAGTTCCGATGAATACCCCCAATAATGAAGTACCACGTGAAAGCAGGTATGCCGAGCTAAGGATTACATCAACTGGACAAAAGGCCAACGCTAAACTACACCGATGAAGACAACTTCCAGTCTGAAGGGAAAAACAAATAAAACTGTCAGTCGGATCGGAGGAATAAATAGTCTGGTTTATGTAGCAGAGGATCATGTTTAAATGGCAGTGTAAAGGACTGCAAAACTCATGGTTCAGATTCAGTCTGGGAATCGGCATTATATAAGGGACTGTAGAATGCAAAGCTGTACATGTGAGCGCATTTGACCAAATCGTTATCGCCTCTAAGTCAATGCAGAAATGAATGTACGGCTTGTCGATAGAAGCAAATAAGCGATTTCCAGGAAGCAGATCAGGAGAAGTTGCGATCGTTAGAACAAGAAATTTATTAATGTGACCTTTCGGAGTTCCTCCCGAACCCATCATCGGATACAATCACAGAAAATGGTATATGAAGCACAAAAACCGCAGTATTTATGGGACGCAGCTGACCCGGCAACCATATTCATCAAATAATTAGCAGTACTCGGGTTCATCGCTAGAATCCGCATTTATTGCGTTGATTGTTTGTAAGTCGTACCCTAGTCCTTAATTGTCGTGAGTTTATATCCGTTGTTGATTCATAGTGTGACGATTGCTCGGCAATTTTGCTCACTGTCTCCGAAACGGATGATCGCCCGCGCTCTCCCCGAGTGGCCACATTATTTTGCCCAGGCAAAATTGCAGCATAGAATATGGAGGCGGAAGGTTGTGTCTCTTGTTAGGTGACTGCGGGCCGGTGAACAACGACTTAAGCAGCTTGTGACTGGCGCGGTTGTCCTATCTTGCGAGAATTTCGGCCTCCTCGAACTTGAATGTGTGACCGGATTCCGTCAAGTGATTCGCGACCTGAGAACTAACGTCATTCTTCCTCGCGGTTGCTGTATGTCCGGCCGTTCGCGTTCAAATTAATTTTACCCTTTTCATCAATGCAGTTGCTGTGTCCGAAATCGCACCAGATCGGGAAACCCACCCCAGACGTTTCCTGCCGTGGCAGTGGACCTTTCGGTCTCGTGACCTGGCACCCGACGGCTGCCTCCGGTCTGTGTGCGATTCCAACTCCGATTGGTGTGAGAATGCGACCGGCTATTCCAGAGACGTTTTTCAAGTACGAGAATGCTCGCCAAAGTCTGAGGGAAGTTAAATATTTTCTTCCGTCACGTTTACGCATGCACAGGCTGACGGCGTTGCACGGGTAAGCACTGACCCTAAGCATCTGTCAAAGATATCGTAGCTCAGCATACTTATCTTTTGTTTCGACACACTAATTTAATGCCCTTACGCATCCTGAATTATCATTTCCACCGGCTCTATGCATAACGTGAACTCTCGGTTTCAAATTGGAATCGGTAATCGCGGGACAGACTTCGTTATTTTTCGATCAGTACTGCGTGCAAAGCGTTTTACTGGTTGACGCGTGTGTTAAGGTTTCTATCAGTAAACAAACACCGTCCAGGAAAAACAATCTTTCACTATACTTATGTGATCCACTGCGTCATTGGCTTCGTGTGCAAAATGTCGATAGCTGCGTTTCTGGAAAACAGAAGTATTTTCGACATCAAAATAATGATTTATAACTTGACGCTATCTTGTGCCCAAAATACAACAGCAATACGCCCAGAAATGAAGTTTTTTCAATTTGTTCGCAAATCTGCTAGGACGCACCTTTATTAACGATTGTCCGTCGCCACAGGACCTCCGGCATGGGTAGTAAACTCTACTCCAAAAGGTGGATTTGTTCGTCTTTTCGAATATAACCTGTAGAAACCGGCAGATGGCAATTTGAGATAAGTAGATATTCCAGATTCCACCCCGATTTTACTATCCTGTGTGTCACATTGCTAAACCTAATTCAGTGTTTTGCGACTTGTAAATTAACGCACTCCATGCAGTTATACTTGGTCGCAGTCAACCCGCGAGCCCCTAAAATGATGCTTTAATCTTTTTTCTTGTAATGTATTTTACGTATTTATCATTTTGCTTGGAGACTGAATACGGGCCTCTATGGATAACGCACAACTATCTGGCACGATTTATTTAGTTTTTGTCATTTCTCTTTTTCCATAAAAATTAAATTCCATAGAAAATTAACATCATCTTAAGTAGAAATTGCATAGCCCCTGCGTACACTTGGCTCTGTTTACTGTGACACATGGATTAATAAACTCAGACCAGTTCTTGACTACTGAAAATGCCTTTATGAATATAAGTGGGCCTCATCCGTCTTGTAACCTATAACACATATCTGTGTTTACGAAGCACATCAATTAAGGTCGCGAACAGAACAAGGAACATAATTAAGCTGGCGACTAAACTTGCAGCTTCTTTTAAAAACGAAAGTTAATCCAACTAAACTATTTTTAAAATTGAAAAATTCACCCCCTCTCAAGCACCCAAAGAGTTATGAGCAATTATTAAATTCCGAGCTGTCACACTGAAATGGCCATCAGCCTTAGACCGAGTCCTTTTTTTCATCGGTTCGAATGAGGTATTGGAAAACCAGCTTGCTTTTTTCGGTTTTTAGTTGGAAAAATAGCTTCGAAAAAATGCTTATTTTCTCTCAAATAAAACGGGGTTTGAAAATTCGATGGCAAAATGCATGTCATTTCTCTTTAGGGACTGAGTTAAAAGTACAATCGATACCTTAGATCGCCATCCACCAATAACGTCTCGTTCTGTATTATGATTGGTCAACTACATTTTAGCATAGTTGAGGTTAGCGTTGGCCACTTGAGTCTCTTTCACGCGCATAGGTTTATGTGGACGCAATTATACACAGCATTGCACGTGCAAATTGAGCCGCGAATTCACACAAAATTTAATATATGTGCACAACAAGGCGGGAAAAGTTGGAGAAACCTTAAGGATGTATCAACTCAAAGGGCGAGTCCGAACAAAATATGAACACTGATGCCAGATGAATCTTATTCGCTCATGCCTTGGAACAATACGGGATAAAATTTGGGACCCGGCTGAACGACATAAGCGTCGACTGAAGGCTGTTTCGGTCGAACCGACACCCATTGCAATATTTCCCGCTGTTTATGCAAATAAATTAGCCAACGGAATTTTAAAATATGAATTCGAAGTAAGTTCTATACCTTTAACTTAGAAAGTAGCAAAACGTTTACAAAACTATTATTTTCAACTAGCTTCTGATATCTAGGACAAACTTTTAACACTGCATTTGTTAACCAGCGATTTAAAAGCGAAATCCGTTTATTTAGTTTAATCCGGGCCGTCCCTTTTAAATAATCAATATCGGGACGGCTGGAGATTGAAAAGATTAAGGGGTTGAGGGCTTTATTTTGTTTCATTTTCAGCTGAAATATTTACTGTTTGATTAAAGGTTATTAAAACAACATAAACAAAATCAGGTTACCCCTTATTTGCTGCACGCAGTAGATGTCCCCTTGATCATATATATGTATAAAATTGTAAGCTCTTTCGCCAATTTTCATTATTTTTGTGTACCACCTTACTACGCGTTCCGCATGTATCTCTGCTCAATGTATGACTTATTTTTTTCCCGGTGTTTCAGGTTGTATCAAATGGACATGCAATCAAAACGTTTAGTGAAGCATCCTTCATGGAAGAGAATGTGAAAAAGAATCAAACTCAGAATGTTGTCCCGTGTAAGTTGTGGTATTTGGGACATGACAGTCGGTTGGCATCAGATTTTTCCGAGCAATTTAGGTCAAGCTTTTGACGGAGAAGTAACTGGTCTTTATTTTTTTCATAGCCATCAGTTTGTTTAAAGTCACCTGTCGATTACAGTACCATTAGCTTTAAAGTCCTCCGAAGAACAATAAAAGCCTTATTTACAATTAATTTGGCAGTAGATTAGGCGATTCTAAATTCCAGTTTTAATAAGTCAGTGGTCTTGCAATCGTCAGAAAAATACATACCTCACAAGCGACTTAGAAACAAATAGAACTTTAATTAAAGGTGCAGGGAAATTTACTGGCTGCATTTGAGTCATTTTTTTGTCATCAGTAGGCCAGAGAAAAATGTCCATTTGACGAACCTCAGGCTAACTTGAGAAAAGGCCTTCGGTTAATGGTTACGCCATTCAAAACGTTTCAGTTTTAAAACGACAGTTTTGTCCATTATGTCTCCTGTATAAACAGTCTTTTTACACGTGACTGCCTACGGGGCCTTCCAAAGCAATATTAATTTTGTCCAGCTGCATCGGGAAGTGACTTGGGTGGTTGAAGATAATCACTTAATGTTTGTATCTAAACAGTTAGTGCTAACGTACCACTATTTATTAACCAAACATATGCGTTTCTGCAAAAAGTCAGGTGAGCACGAAAAAATCACCAACAAAAGAGCTGTACTTTATGCATGCATTTTAGACCCAGAAAACTGCGTACTTCTTGCGGCCATTGATGATGATGAGTCCACAACCTATATTAACGCCAGCTGGGTCGACGTAAGTTTTTGAATTTTGTCGAAAATTTTGATGCTTCGATTGCCATAAAAATGCCGTAGAAAGTGTGCGCGTTAATCCATATGAAAATCTTGCTTTAAAACACAAAATACTGCAGACTACTGAAGATTTCAATAAAGATCAATGGTTTGAATCTTTCCAAAAATTTTGCAAAATTTAGCATGAGTAAAAAGTGCAACACAGTCAACGACTAGTCTATTTTAAATTACGCCTGTTAATAAAAAAGGCCGGATGCAAATTCTGGTCAGTTATAAGTCGGGCAGATATTTTCGTAAAACAAAAGACCTACTTCTCAGAAAACTGCGTACATTTAAAATTAGCCTAAAATTCTTGCTTGGTCCCTGGTTAATTTATGCAGCCAAGGGATTTAAAGTTTTATTCTCAGTAACCTTCTTGTGAATAACCTTTTAACTATTTAATCCTACTTCGATTGCTGAGAGTTTAATTTTCAGCTTCTATCTCAGGCATTTAACAATTTTTTTAATTTTCCTGATGCAGCAATTGCATGTAGTTTGGTCTATATTTAAATTCAGCGCTTTTTTGAACATAGGGTCAGGATGAGAGGAAGAAGTACATCGCAACGCAGGGTCCAAATGTAAAGACAATTTCGGATTTCTGGAGGATGGTCTGGCAGTATAACTGCCAGTGCATTGTAATGGTCACAAGCCTTTTTGAGCATGCAAGAGTACGTTCCACTTTCACCTAAGTCATTTAGCCGATTAGTTTTTGATACTTATATTCGTCTTCCTTTGCCAATACGTGTGTAAAAGTACACCAGACATAAGCAATCTAAGCAGTATTTACAAAAATCGTCGCACGGAAAGACCAGCATCACCATAACGCGCATCATTATTCTAATTTGATAACAAATTAGATCTTTTTTAAATTTAATACTTGAAGAAAAATTAACTATTTGGGTTGTGTAAGCTTCTTAATTACATAATTTTTGAGGATCGGCAATGTACACTCAAAAACGCTGTGTCTCCGTATTTATTAATTCTGATTGTGGATCATCCACTATAGTTCATATTCACTGTAAAAGCTTATAAAACCCATACCATTACTTTTGAACAGCGTTCTGAAAAGTATAATTTTTATATGGGAAGCATATGGCTTACAGTCTGAAATCCTTAAATGCATATGTAACGACAGGTCAGGCTCAAAAATATTCAGGAATTGGAATGAATATTTTAAAACCGGATTAAAGTCTTCCTTCAAATACGAAATATGAAAGGCCTAATTTGCCATCAAACAAGTATAACAGCGAATATTTTATGCATGTTCTTTATAAAATATATTCGCATACAAATGTGCATCCAAAATTAACGAGAAAAAGTCCTAAATATTTAGCGATCTTTTTTACAGAGTAAAGCTTTCGAGGACGGCTAGAAAGACGCTCGTTCAAAGGCTGACATCCTGACATGACTGAAATATCTTATGGTTCTGCTGTGCGATTATTAATGTTGTAGCCATAACTCACGTTATCTTTTTAAACCGAAAACACGTTTCTTACGATAGAAAATCTACTGTAGGAAACCAGCCACTGGGGCAAAGTTAGTGAGTGTTAAATGTTTGCAGCTTAAATGCACCAAATAATAGTTTTCCTTTACAACACACTACAGAACGCCGAGTTCTAAACTAGAATTTTCAGTAAACAGAGGGAGAGACTTATTAAAAGGACACAGCGTTTGCAAAAAATGCCCGTTTGTGGAACTATCGCATACGTTTTATGTCAATTATTAGCGTGTTCGCATGAGCATTCTTTTTATTCGTCTGCTGTAGCGTGTGTTTTTCTGTTTTCTAATTCAGCGTTAGCCTCATTTGACATGCTAAAATAAAACCTTAGTATTTATGTCTCTTTCTGATTATAATGACGCTGCGTTTACATTCGACACAAGTGAATTATAAACAAATTATGGATAAATTTACTGTCCAGCAACTAAACTGCAACAATCAGCATTTCTTTTTTACATGAACCTACTCTACTTCCAGATGAGCAGATGACTGTCTTTATATTACAATCTGCAACGGTTAACTCCCTAGTGTTTTCTTGTAGCTGTATTGGTATTTAAAAAATTAGCTCAGACGTTCCTTTGTCGGTCTAAAGTGTTACTTTCGTAAAACATAAAACTATGTTTTCTTTAATTGGCTGACCGCATCTTAAGCTTTCCACGCTTCGTCTGGAAATACTCAAACGTTGATCTTATCCTTTACGCCTATCACGTTGATTATAAAATTATTCCCCTGAAAAGAAATAAGTATTTAAATTGGTGATATTAAAGACGATTACAATGCATTTTAAAGACGTTTAATTGCAGAAAAGCTGTTTTAGGCGCAATATGCGGCACTACGGAATGTTTGTATCATAGTACATTAGACCGTAAGATACGCGTACAGTTTTCAATATTTACAGGCCAATTTTCTGTGACGTATATTGTTTGGCAGCTGATAAGTAAAATGCTAAAAACATTTGAAAGCATCCAAAGCCGTGCACAATAACGCTTTATTCCGGAACGTTTTCACTCGCCCGACAACTTTGAGCAGCCATATACCTGTGGCGGATTTATTAACGTACAATGCTTATATATTATGGTAGGTCGTATTTATGAACACCGAATTTAAAGACCGGATATTTCCTGTAAGCTTGACTTTGATTTCCTTCCATGGCCAGTATGGGGACACTCAAATATTTTACTCGTATAAGTTGGGAAATTAAAGTTAGTATTTACGTTTGCTTGATTTCTCTGTGAAATCTACTGTGTCTCTTTTTCTCATAGACATTTGTAATTGATGAAATCACTGATTTGCCCATGCCCTCCAAAACATTTTTCCAGCGTCTAAACGATTTTGGACTTATAATTAATTCTTCGTTTGGAATGGTAACATCTGCTTAAAATAAAAGAAAATAAGTATGGTGCGGTGCCCACATGCCCTAGGAAATGCATCGGGTTAATCTATAATACTAACAAGTGAGTGCAGGAAATAAATATTTACGTAGATACGATCTAGAGGTGATGATAAAAACCACTTGACAGACAAAATTAACATTCATTAGATTTTCTACTTAATTCTTCTAAGTTTATTCGATTTTAATCGACATGATCGATCGCCCCAACTATGGAATATGCGATGACGCGAAACAACTAGTGTGGCTTTGCCATGAATTCCCCACAGCAGTTCAAAATGCAACATCATTTATTACTCAGCACAAAAATGAAAATTGGATGATTGTCCTGACGGCAAATGAAGCGGAGATGTATCCAGGGTTGTTTTTAACTCTAAAATAACGGCTTGTTTTGAAACGAATGTTTTTATTTCATGAGGGAAATATGACAAAGTAATACGGGTGGCCTGCACCAAAGTGCAGGGGGTTAAGAATTGGCTTATGGGGGCCGGCGATTGGGTTAGGGTAACGAATAGAAAGATGAGAATAGGGTCAAAACAGGGACACAAGAATGGAAATCCTTAGAATGCAACGCAAAGTTGGAGAGTGCGCAGTCTAGAGTCAGACTACTTCGTAACACGTCCTCATCTTCTAGAAAGTCCAGCTGAAATACTAAACATTGATGTTATTTAATGATACAGAAATCGACCGTTCGAAGCGGGGGGATTATTGAGAAGACTGCGTCCAATCTACTGCTATAACAACTAAGGAAGTTTTATTACTTTTCTGATGAGGGTTATTTTTTATTTTTAGCTTCAGTGTGAACGTTATTGGCCCAGTTTCACCTGCAATTTTGATACCATAAGTGTGACAAGCCGGGATGCATTGAGCACAGCTCAGTACACAGTTCGTGAATTTCGTCTCTGTAGGGTGAGCATTTTTGCTTTTTGCCGTTTGCAGACGTGATTTATATCACACGTTAGTGACTGTTTGCAGATCTCTCAAAATGACATTTGTAGGATAACGATGCCAAATGTTTCACACATTTTGTTCTCATCTTTACTTCCCGACACCAGCTTTAAAATCCGTAACATTATTATTTAAACATTGCGCTCATGTAAGATACGACTCTACAGATGTGCCGAGACCTGTACGGAAGACTGAAAGAAACCAAACTAAACGTACAAGGCCAGACATTTCTAAAAATGATAGTTTTGCAGCATGATTCCCTTACCGTCATGCGACGATATATTTCAATTTGTAATCTACGCTCCCACCAGTACTGAGGAAAACAGCTTCCAAAAATACACTGAATTTTGGATGACATTGTTAGCTTTATGATTATTTTGTCATGCATAAATTTCGAAGCAGATATTTCGTGCTCCATTGGCTCTCCGAAAGAGAAAACTACCTATCGCAAACCAATGAACTAATTTTTCACCGGAACCTCTGCAAAGTGCTTTGTCATACAGCACTGTGACAGATGTAATGGGAGATTTTATCTAGCATATTGCATTAGGTAGAATGTACAATTTCTGGTACTGCATAACGCATGTATGATTTACCAAATACACCATAAAATCTTGATGTCAGACCGTTTTGTAAAAGGCTTTGGAGACGTTAGGTATAACAGTCCCAATAATTGGGCTGAGAATGCGGTTTACTCACATTGACTTTAAATAAGGGGCATTTTTTTGTGCGTCGGAAAGCATATTGGCATCTCGGAGCTTGTCAAATCATAAAATTTCTTTTTAAGCTTCGGTCCAGAGTAGAAAAGAGGAACGCTTTTTTAACAAACAAGACGTTCACCGAAAATATCTTCTAGCATTGTGACCTTAGTGCATGAAATAATGCCGATATTTAAGAAGTAAACAAAGTCATTACACCGACACTGATACCTTGAAGGAGTCATAAATATTTTCGGCGCTATTATTCACCGAAAAGCTCCAAAAACACAAGGATTATCAGCACACGTTTCTCTAAAAAGCGAATGAACGCCGTGGTTGGTTTGAAGACAAATGTACTGGCTTAATTTGAAGATTATGCATTCTAAGCAAATTACAAAGTATGCCTTGGAATGGCCTCAACTATTGCCTTATAATATCAACGGTATAAAATTGAGAAAGGTGTACCTATTGTCTGGCCACTCGCATCTAGAAGCCGACGGATCTTGGGAATTAGGACATCAGGATTGTGTTCGGCCAGTCAAATCAGCTATCTGTTGTGAGCATCTTTTTTGAAGATATGCTCGAACGTTTCAGCAAAGTCACTGTCAGTCTTCGAATAAACAACTGATTAGTCATCTAGTGACATGATCACATTTATGCAGAATTGAATGCCAACGACTATACGTCGGCTAAAGTGCAAGGCTGTCGAACGTTTGGTACAAAAGCTGGATAAATTGCATAACAACTGGTGACAACACAAATTTTGAAGCAAGGTTGAAATTTTGTTTAATACGACGCTTATCACTATCAAGATCGTTTCGTTTTTGTGATTGCATTAACCTGTCTTTTATCCTGACGTATTGTCACATAAAGCAACTAAAAGGGACCTACCCCAGATAAGAGAGATCTTTCAGCAACTAGTCCGGCCAGAGACCGCTATGTTTAATAAAACCAGTATGTCCTTTTAGTTTCACATCATATAAAAGCAATTTTTACCTCTGTCGTTCTTTCAAAAAGCATTTCTTTCATTAAACAAATGGCGTCATTAGGTTCTTAGCAAATGCAACTTTGTTTTAAAATAATATTTTAGCCTCAAAACGTTAAAATGCTCTGGCATTTACTGCTTATTTCTTTATTAACTAGTTGAAAACGCTAGTGAGGTTTGTTCACAAAGCATTTGTCTACCAGCATCAGGAGTAGCAAACTGTGAATGCATTACGTGTTAGACGTAGTCTTTGTCTGCATTACTGAGTATGTCTCTGTCGCTTTCGGGAAGAAATGGTTGAAAAATGCTTTAAAATTAAAAGTAATTCGGCATGCTTAATCCGAAAAAAACTTGTTGTGTTTATAATTAACAATCCTTAAGTTTTGTAATAATGGACTCTGATCAGATAAGCTCATTCAGACGCAAATCTTTAAAAGCTTTTGAATGTAAACGACCTTTCTTGGCACATAATGTTCAGTGGTAAAAAAGACATGCAACCATACACTTCCCTAGGCCTCTGCCATGAAATAAACCTGCGGACTATGTAATTAGTAAGAAATACTAATCCGCAGTGCACTTTTACTTCGTTGCCAACAGGTTCGCATAGGAACAGTTGATTCGATTCGGCCGTTGTGCATGACAAAGTTTAGGGAGAAAATTTATAGCAGGAGGTATTCGAAAAGCAAATTTGTTCATATCTGACCAGACCGACTGTAAATCAACAAAACCATCTCTTCTCAGCCTTTTTCTGCTTGCTAAAATAGGGATAGTTTCGAAAATGTGAATTAAAAACAGAATCACAAGGTGCACATGATTTATTGCCTGGAAGTAATTATCAGATAATTAGACATCACATTGCATGCCATGATACTAAATAGAACATCAATTGAAGCGTCAAAACAGGAGGTAAAAATAGACATTGCTATCTGCCAACCCTTCTTTCATTAGCTATTTGCTTAGTTTGCGTTTTTTCGTTTTGGTGGCATAAAAGCAAGTTATCAGTAAAGAGATTACTATTACGGAATAGGCAAAACCTGGAGCAAGGAATTTTATGCTTTCATTTGTATGCAGGTCCTCTTGTTAAGCGCATAAGCATATACATCTTACCGGGAGAGTTTGGCCTCTACAAATTGGCAGAAATACGGAAAACATAGGTTCCTTCAGAAATTATCGGTTGACTGCAAAACGTTACTCGTTAAATTACCTGGGAAAACTGCTTCTTAATAGAGGAGTCAAAATTCAAACGCCCTTCGAACGGTTAAACATATATTACTCGGGAGCAGTCGATCCTTCGCTTGTATTTATTTAAAAAGTAACATGATATTTTGGGTTTGGGTAAAAATGTTAATCTTTATATGTACAGCCAAATAAGAACGCGCTTTTGGGTGCTTAAACACCCTAATTTTAAAAGCTGCAATTTGTTTAAGACTAAATTTCCAATATTTAATTAAATGTGACCGAAATAGCCACAACAAACATCACGTCACATAAAGCCATTCCGTTTGCCCAGGCTGATTATTTGTGTAAAATAGTGATTAACAACTAGTACATATAATTATTTGATGTAAATATATCTTAAAATGTTTACCATGCGCTCTAACATAAATACATAAAAAGCAGTTTGAAAACGTTTTTTTTCAAGCGTGACGATCCAGGTGTAAAACGAATTATACGGCAGTTCCAACTGGAGAACTGGCATAAAAATGATCTTCCCTTCATTGGAGCTATTATCGACCTCACCTCCAAAGTTCATTCCTGGCGAGAGGGAAAGGACGGTCCAATCGTCGTGCACTGTTCGTAAGTGACTTTTATTATTTCGTACTTATTTTTCAAAAGGTACTGGCAAACTACCTTTGGACAGTACAAGTTAGTAACATTGTCTTTTAAGTGTGCAGTTTTTTGAGGCATGACTTTATGTAAACGAAACGGTTGCGCTGCCATTTTCAAAAACTTCGTTACTAGAACAAGACACCGGTTTTACTCCGTGAGCCTGACGTAAGAAAAAACTCTGTTATAATTCCAAAGTAACTAGCTCTGAAGATTTTCAAATTGTAGCTGTCCTAGATCATATGTAAAAATGCATATGGAGATAAAAACATGCCATTACAAATTGAATCAAAAGGATCCTTGACTGCTTACAAGAAAGCAAAAAGAGTTTTTATCAGTAAAGCGTTGCATAAAGATTTCCTGGAACATTAGCTAAATAAATGCTGAATGGGGGACTTACTACTTGCGGAGTGGCCCTAATTGCAATTAAAGGGACATTGCATAAACAAGGAATTACATATATTTAAACGAGGAACAAGGCCTGCAAAAATAAAAATGGTCTTCTGAAAAAATAACAAAGGGCTATCACTTTTATGTTTCACAAGACGATAATTTACACTCAGAAGTCACGACTCAGTAATCTGGAAGATGTCACTAAGTATGAAATTTCAGAAAGTATTAAAACTGCTTGAATGACATACTGATTTAAAGCAATGAAATATATTTTCAAAAAATGGAAGCCACCCAACCAGCCAAGGGCATTAATGTCTTTTAAATCGATTTTTATTAGGACAGATTTTAAATGGTAAATAGAGGTACTATAAAGACAAACATGCAAATGCGCGTGTTAAGCGAGGATTATTCGATTGCTTAATCACTGTCGCATGAAAAGCCGTAAATATTTACAGTATGAATATAATGAATATGCCCTTATTCATCGCTTTACAAAGTGCATTGTTATCACTCCAAGTCTAGCAGCACATTAGGTGGCTGCAAAATGGCTGATAAATGCACAAAAATGTTGACGAAAATGGGGCAAAATTATGAGAAGTTACTTATCCTTAATACACTGCCCAACGTTTTTTACGACATTTACCGGGCGATCGCGAGCCGTCACACGGGTTAATGACCTAACTTTGTCTCAAAGTAAATGCCTTTTTGAAGTCGAACAGTTATTTCATATACATATTTTGCAAATGAGAAAAAGAGTTAAGTAAATTGCCTTGCCATCATGCAGATTGTGAATTTTGCGAAATATACAAAGCTAAACGCCACAGTGTCGATTATCTGTTATCACACAACAAAACATCGTATTCGTAGAAACATACAGCACAAAGATTTGAAATGTAGTCAAAAATAATCGAGAACGAACGATCATCGACTAGTCACGAGGCATGTAAAATGGCGATATTTAATTCAGTAATCATCAATGTTCCGCCATACATTACATCCTGAGGGGTATGCCGGTGCAACGTCTGCTTAACATGTACGGTTGACGTAAGTAATCGTGGCATATAGTGCATCGACTTTCAGGATGATTTCATCTCCACAGGCTGAAAACTTCAAACATATCTTAGATGACGTTTTAAAGTTCAATTATTAAAATCGAATAGAAAAAATTTTAAAATCTGGGCGTCAAGTAAGCTAATCCCTTTTAAATAAGGTTTGATTAAGACCAAAATTCAGAAAAAGTGGGACCTATTCAAGAAATGGAACGAACAAACAGTGTTTCGCTTGAATCCAAACCTTTACGATGTCTGTTGAATAAGCATTGTGCTTGCTGTACTAGGCAGGATAACTCCTTGGTTCGATTGATTAGTTCGTGTAGAGTCAGGTGTAAAGCTCTGGTACCTAGAAAATGACCCCTGGCTTAATGATTTAGTGAAAAGCTACAAGTTAGCCTCATGTCATCTGCAAATGGAAATGCCTGAGGTCATTTGTGATTGGTAAAGCGGGGCCATTCTGACTAGAACAATGCCGGCTATTCAGTCTAGTGTTGTCCGCGCGAAAGACAATATGGAACCTCATTTTGCAGTGTCAGGGTTCACGACTTAATAGGAACAGATTTAAGCGCGCTGGTTCATGCCTTAGATTGTTTGGGCCACCATTTGAATTATTGCGAGCAAGTTCCTACAGGCATGCCGGAAATGACCAACCAAATCTCCATTGTTTCTTTTTTTATCGTAAGCACTTCAGGGTCCCGTACTTTGCCCATTTCTACTAATATGTCGTCAGATACATGGTGATAATTGCAGTGGAAATTTTCAAGTGCAATGAGGATAATGAATACTCTAGTATACTGGCATTACTCGAGTTTAGCCTTATTACATTCCAACATAGGAACACTGGCATTAAAACTAAATTTGTCTTATTTGCACTCGATTTTATTTTTTTGCCTAGTAAATAATTGAAGTCCTTAGGGTTTTATGCGTAGTAGTTGACTCATTAACTAACTAACCTAAACATGTCAGAGTACTAGTCAGAGAAAGGATGTAACGTAATGGCAAAAATGCATGCATACGCAATTGCCGTGTACGAGTGTTGAATCAGTTAAAAATTGACGCCAGCTTTGTGTAAAGTGAAAGCGGAATTGGAATTTTGATTTAATTACTTGCGCAAGAGCAAGCATACAAGCAAAATAGACGGTGTGCGAGCAGGAAAAATGCAGTAATTTAAACTGAACAGCAAAGATCGCTTCCAACGAGGGCAGGAAACTGCAAAGTTGCCTCATCCTGATTGTCTGCTAGGGGTTTTTCACTTCATTAGAGGTCCTCAAACACGTAGAGCGTAAGGCATGCAGTCCAAGCGCGACGCAGATATTTTCATAGTTCTAAAGTTAATGTTCTTGAGTACAGTCGGATGGATCTAAAGCACACTCACGTCCCAAGATGACTGGTGAATCAAGTTGCTACAGGCGGTTATAAATAAGTGGACAAAGTGTCTCCTTCGGGGAGGCTTATTGGACTCACTTGATAGAAGAGTGACAGAGTTTTCCTCATCTTCATAACAATCAAAAGCTCCCTATTGTCTCTACAGTTTGTAAAAATACCAGCTAGCACAAGTAAGGGTCAAATAGTGCTTAAGATGCCGTTATTTCCTGCCGACTTAATTAAACGGTTTGTCTGTGTCTTTATCTTGCGTACTGCTGTAAACTCCTTTACAATTCCTTAATCTTTGTCTTTAGTCACTGACAGGTTTTTACAATCTAGAAGAAGGCAAAAATATGTAATTACCATAATATGCTTTCACAGCGTTGCAACTAACGCTTGCAAAGTACAAAAAAGACTCATATTTGCCTTTTCAAAAAAGACAAAAGGCCTGGCAGATTTATTAAGAATTTAAATAACACTCGAATGAAGTCAGATAAAACAAAAAGAATTATTAGGCTCGTTTAGAGGATCGATATAGAAGAGTATAAGAGGGAGCAAATATAAAGCCAGAATATAAATATGACAGGGAATACATGCACATTTATTTGGGCATTTTGATCTCATGAGTGTTAATCGACGACGCTGCGTTCCCTGCTGAGTAGACAACCGTTATGACGTTATGGGGGATAAATTACAGACACTACATCGACGATGACATTTCATTGCTCTGTGTAAGATATCGCAGTGGATGTCTTCACCATGTACGCGATAAACACGTAAACAGCTTTTAGTGTGTTTGAGTTTAAGAAATGCAAAACTGTCGGCAAAGCTCGCCCTACCTCGGTTCCTTTAAGATAACGTTGGAAATCACGTGATACGTATGCAGCCCGAAATCACGCTGGTCAGCATCAACGAATTTGCAACAAGGCGGCAGCGAAATCAACAGTCGTAAAAAAACAACAGCAGACCTTTAGTTGTAAAATTTTAGAACCACTTATGCTCCCCCAATATTTCATTTCATTTAAATGATTTCACTTTCGATAATCCTAGGAGCAAAGAAACCCAAATGCACGTATTAACGTTCGCAATCTCATCTTTCTTCCGCTTTCCTTAAAACAGGAAACTGGAAAATACTGTCCATAATACATAACATACTCATGAACTTTATTGACCTTTGCTGACAATAAAGATGTGATTGACTTGATAAAATGTTCCTAACCGAGCAAATATTACAGGGTTCTCACTAAAGGCATAATGAATGTTTTTTTGAAATAACGAATGTAATGCGTCATGCAACTGACACAAGATGGAGTCAACGATGACAATTCATTGCCCGGCTTCTATAAATGCAACCACCGTGAAAATAGGTCACGCTCAATCGAAGAATGTAGGTTTTGTGTTGTTCCTAATGCTAGAACAAACAAAATACTTTCGACCATTTAATGCATTTTTGAGCCGAAACCACCTGTCCAGGTCACTGGCGAGAGGACTTTCGAGTCATACATATTTTTTCAGCTTATACCAAGGGATTAAACTGCAGAATTCTGGCCTAGCTTAAGTTACATTTGCAGACGTTTTGCTGATGTTCTACCGTATAGTCAACTTACCGTTTTATCTTGAGTGTAACGCAAGACACGACCTCAAATAACCCGTTTTTTCTTTATGACGAGTCGTAACAACTGCTCTGCCACAAAATGAAGGTCAGGGTAGATGATGATCAGGCATATTGAATCCCTCTGTTCCTTTTGTCATAGCATTTAGAAAGTGAATTCTTATAAGTAAAGCGTCTAAGCATGCAGCTGAGCTGACTGAATACGACAGTGTGGCATTCGCAGGCGATACAATTCCCAAAGGCGTGATAAAGTAAAAATAGTGATAATTTGAGAATGGACTTATATATAGGGACAATAAACATGCACTACAATCATACGTCGCACATCCGGCACCCATACTTTCCTAACTGAACTGATGTGGCACAGTGGCACATACAATTAAATGTTCTATCAATGGTTAGAAGACGTGCCAAAATAACTAACTCCCCATGAATCAGCCATAAATGGGGGGTGCTCGATTTTCGCATAAGCAAGTGTGTTATAAAGGCCACAAAAAGGTATGGCCATCGCGAACTCCTTTTGATTTTTACTATGATACAATTCTCCGGCCAGTTTAAAATCCTTCGGCAGTGAATTTTTTGGTTTTCTGATAATTAGTAGAACGACAGGCTCCCTTTAGTAAATAAAATAAACACTGGGTTCATATTTTTTCCGTTTATCCTTCCTTCTATTTCTCATAATTTACCAACAACTCTAGGTTGACGATGGTGAGATGGGGCGCAGCGGCTAGCGTGACTGAATTGCCGCCTATAAGTGCCGCACAGGCAGTATTTGCTACTGGCACGCCGGACACATCTATTCTGACTCCGAGTCACCGCTGCGTAATACGTGTCATAAAATACGCTCTACGAGGAACTCCTTTGTTGCACAGAACAGATATATCCCATAATCTGAAACTTTTGCATAAAAATGCAAAGACGTGTTTGGTCAGGCATTGTTAGGTGAAATTGCAGGACAAAACTCACCACAAAAATATGGGGTTTAGGCTTCTGTAGATGTTTTTAATGCTTTTTAATCAGATAATCCTTTGCATAGACATTTCGGAGCGCAAAATTTGCAGGGCGGCTTTCAGAGATTAGCTCAACTATCATTTATATTTGCCCATCGACAAGTGCGGATCTGATTGGATTTTCTAATTAAATTGGCAGATGCTCAGCATCCTAACAATTAGAACAACAGTGCTATACCCCGATGCCACAGAGACGTAACTGACACATACATAGTACCCGCGTCTGAAAAAAATATTACTCCGAGGGCCAACGGGGGGCTGGAATATGAAGCCTTTGTGCACAGTTAATCTAAAGGTTCGTGAGAAATAAATGCAGTACATAAAAGGTCGTTGATGAATAACGAGGTAAATTGTGCAAACAGTCAATAAAGCTTTTCCATGCCTTCCGATTGTTCAGTAACGCTGTAGACATTCAGATCTACTCTGATAATTTCTGCCGTTCAGGGTGTTGAAAGGCGACCTGCGTATAACAATACAGCTATATTTGCCGATTGAGAAGATTTTATTAAACGTTGTTTATCCATGAGGGTTCTCCATAAAACACGTTCACTTTTCCTTGCGAGAGGCGAGCACTGAGAACGTTTCGAACCCTATTGCCTTAATCAGCCGGCTATTGCCAAGATGACGAAGGCAAAAACTTTCCGAAAACCTCATAAAGTTTCAGAAATTACTGTAGATGTTAACGTTGATGCAGTCGCCACGCGCGAGGGGTAATAATTCGACTGACTGCTACATGTAGGTGATTCTAGTCATATTAATTCTCTAAATTCAGCAGTGATCTCTGGGACGACCAGATCAGGAAGATGGCAATCACAGCGCTGTGGGAAACACGCAGATTCAGCCGACTTTTCAGAAGACGAAGATGCGGCCACCGGAAGAAGAAACTTATTGGCTTGACGTTTCGGATTCTCACTCGAACCCATCATCAAAGACAGTCGCAGATAAGGGTTATGGTGGCAAAAGGAGTGCAGTTTTTATAGCACATAGCCGCCGTGGAATCATATGCGTACTAAAATGAAAATCTCTCGAACTCACCGCTGGGGTTCGTAACTGATGCGATGAGGGCTTGTCATTCCGCGTCCGAGTCGTTAACTGCCGCGATTTCGTCATCTGTGTTGGATGACCGCGTAATGATTTCTCGGCAAATGGGCTCATTGTCATTGGGATTACTGCTTGCCAGCGCCCTCCCCACGAGACTGATTCCCTTGACCGGGAAAAACTCAGAACAAAATATGGTAACAGTAGGTCACTGCGCTGGTTGTAATTCAGCAACCGTGTCCTCCGTTTCACTGCAATGCGTCTCAACGCACCGGTATAACGCCCGTACGCAACTACGTCTGTGAATGTGTTGAGGGAAGCGACTATTACAGCGGAAATGCTGAAATTTGACAGCAATCAGTCGATCGGTCAGGTGGCGACTCATTCGACGGGATCTGCCATATTTTCACGTTTCGAGAGGCCGAAATCTTTGCAAGTGATGACAACCGCGTGATCCGCGAACTGCCCAAGTCATGGTTCTTACGCCCGCAACCCATCAACAAGCGCAGTGACCTACTGTTACCATATTTTGTTCTGAGTTTTTCCCGGTCAAGGGAATCAGTCTCGTGGGGAGGGCGCGGGCAAGCAGTAATCCCAATGACAATGAGCCCATTTGCCGAGAAATCATTACGCGGTCATCCAACACAGATGACGAAATCGCGGCAGTTAACGACTCGGACGCGGAATGACAAGCCCTCATCGCATCAGTTACGAACCCCAGCGGTGAGTTCGAGAGATTTTCATTTTAGTACGCATATGATTCCACGGCGGCTATGTGCTATAAAAACTGCACTCCTTTTGCCACCATAACCCTTATCTGCGACTGTCTTTGATGATGGGTTCGAGTGAGAATCCGAAACGTCAAGCCAATAAGTTTCTTCTTCCGGTGGCCGCATCTTCGTCTTCTGAACTGATTCCTGGAACTTTCCTGTTCGTCTTAACTGACTGTACTATTGCCCTGTCTAGAATGCATCAGTATGGGTTGTGAGCACCCCACCATTGGGACGAATCGTCCAAATTGTGCACAAACGTTCACGTGTTGACTTTTCTGTTGAAAATACTGCACATTTGACAGTGGAAACAAGAGGTTGGCCATCTAACCTACCAAACGCTTAAGTGTTCGCATTTACCACATTATATGAAAAGAAATGTTCACCGACAAAATAGGTTGTCCATTTGACTGGTGACTCACTGTAATAAGATTATCTTGAGTTCGCATTGAGGCTGAAGTGTTCATTTTTTAAGACACTTGTATGCAATGCATCTTTAAGGTGAATACGTCAGAATCGTTGTTCACCATCAGTGTCCAAGGTCTGGGACAAACCACAGCCGTAGTATATATGTTAAACTTGTCCGTAAAAAGCGAATGCAAAGCGGAAATAAGACGCCCCGAGGGGTCAAAACAGCACTGTTTATAGATAAAAGCTGGGGGGAACAGTATGGCATTTGTTATTGCATTTGCATAAATTGCAGGGTGCTGTGAAGTTCCCAAAGCTCACTGTAAATTACTCCTACAGAGGATCATACGGGACAGAATTATATTGTTCCTTTTTGATTATTTTTCTTAAAAAGAGCTGTTATTGGATGACCAAATAAGGTCGGAAGTTTGAGGTCTTAATGCAAGTTGGGTTGACAAAGGAAAGGACAAAAACATACTCCACATACGGCAACCGGTTAGCCGTATAGTGTAGCTGTCTGGTGCATATTCAGCGTTCGTAGTCGCAAGTACACTGCATTAAAAAGAGTTGCTTGCAAGAAACCTACTTTAATCGTTTTTACACAATAAGAAAAATGCATAGGTGGCGCAAGTGTCACTGAACAACACTTGAAAGGACTTCCTGGAATTTTTAAGCCTTTGTCAGCGCAACCTTAACGGGACTTGTCATCCCCAAATTCATAAAAGCAAAACAATGTCTCGTTGTTCTATGGGTGGAAATTTGATTCTCCTGCACTGACTGTCTTATTTTGTTTAATCAACATAAGCACCTATGTGCGAATCTTTATCTGCGCGCCTATGTATTAGCCTAATTAATTTTTTGCGAGTTTTTCAGTATTGCTTTTCGTAGAAGTGTGTTTTACTATGAATTATTGACGTAATGTTATGAATAAAAATAGCAAGGAGATACTCACTTGTCCATAGCGATGAAGGAGCAAACGGCCCTTTTTAGCATACGACATGAAGTTAATATTTGCATAACTTCCATTCAAAGCAATAGCCGCCAGTTTAGATGAGCAAAGTGCTCACAACCAATTAAGGAGCGTTTGAGCACGATTTACTTTGCATGGATTTCATATACCACACCCCGAATACGCCCCACCGACCCACGAGTCGCTTCTGCTTCAGAAAGTTCTATTTGTCACTGAAGTAACAGCGGACTGAACGGCAAATAGTATTTGCGCCGTTGCTCTGTCGTGTTTACTTAGTCAACAAATCACATGCACCTTCTTCTCAGTTTTCTAGTGTGCGTCTGTCGAGATTTTGCGAGCAATCTAGTCGGAAAAAACATGATACAGTCAAAAGAGGGAGAAGAATTCACCGGGGGAAATTAACTTTTAATCTGACATTTTGAGTAATCGGGTCGGATACAAATTTTCAGAGATTACAATAAAAGGAAGGTTCGAGCCACATATACAATTGGCACTGAAAATCGACGCATAAAATAAAATGCCTCCTGATCTTCTAAGATACACTGCCGAATCTACTACCCTAAACGTCAGAACGAATACAAGCTCCCTCTGACAAACTCCAAGCTTTCATTGACATGCAACTTTGGAACTCCATTTTGATTAGCATTAATATGAAATAGTTCTAGAACTTTAGTTACAGCGGTTTCTGCCAGGCTTGTATTATCATAGGGGAGCTCTGCAGAGACGTGAAATTTTGCAGTGTGTGAGGCGAGTTTGGCATGCACAGGGATAGATTCAAGTGGGTTTACTAACTTAAATAAATCTCTGTAATTCGAAGAACTTCGATTCAGCTTTCAGGCATGAGGCCAAAATAAGGCGTCCTCTGCCCACAATAAGTCCTCCGAGTGCATAGGGTGTTAAAAAGCTATCAGAACTTTTGAAGTGATTTTAACTGAGAAATATTTAATCTGGTGAAAGTAGAACGAGGTATCCACAGAAACGAGCACGTTTTGCTGAAAATACGCAAAAATGGACAGCCGCTAGCCAGTCAAACAATAACAATGTTTGTTTACCCCGTAGTGAATGGTTCCTTGTAAACCAGCCTAGGTCTTTGCGGCTTTGGAATTCAAAATTTTTGACACCAATTTAAAAGCATTATATTTCGCACTTAGTAATTGTGTCGGCTGAAATAATCGCCAAGGTTTACAAAGAAAAGACCAAGTTACGGAAAGTACCTATGGCTGCATTACAATTATAAGCGAAAAAGCAGCGATGAAGGTGACCTACGATAGTTAAAGTATGCCATAGTTCTGCGATGCGTTTCGCCTAGAAAGGATTGCTTAAATAGGATTGTCATATTGATTGTCGTCAGCGAACTCCTAAGACACTGCTTTCACATTAGGACGTCCGGCTTTAAATACCTTTCATTTTGGCCATCCGTGAAAACAACGCCCAGTAAAACGGCATTATGTTTACAGTATAAACGTCAAGCCTTACTTTTCTGTGCACTCATAGATGTGCCAAGCCAATAAAAAGGGAACTGTAAAAGTACGTGTATTTGAAAATATATACGAATCTATAAGTATATCCAAAATTCACGGAAAACATTGGAATATTTTGAATGGTTACTTCTTACTAGGTGTGAATTTCCTGCGCCGGGAATATGTACATTTAAAAGACAAAGTCCTGGTCTAAATGAAATGTCTTTAAGTTAGGATTTACGATAATAACATTGCGGGTCTCATTCAGGCATTTCGTCTAACCAAAATGCATCTCGGAATTATCTTTTAGATCATATTAAGCAATTCAGTTACTACATACACAGGTATTGTGATCATACTGTGTGTACATACTGCACACATACTTTCCTATCCCTTGAAATGTTAATCGACATTCTGAAATATGACTTCGGTTCGTAAAGGTTACTTGAGTAGACTTGTAATAAAGTTATCATGCAGCACAATCATGATATATTTCATTCCCTTCACGATTTCAGCTTTTGGAGGAGCTTCTCTGTGGACACCTGCATAGACTATACCTTGTGCGAAATGACCACTTAAACAGTATAAATTTTTATAATTTACCCTTTATTCCCTTTTAAATTCAAATATATTAAGCAGGTCAAATACAAAAATAATCGCCGTCGTATTTATTTGGTAGCCAGCTACGTCATATTTAAGTTTTATACTTCAGGGAGGCGTATCTTTTGTTTTCTAAAGACTTTTTCACTTTCTAAATAATTCTTGCCCCAGTTGTCGTTGCTTTTACGCTCGAGTCTTCAACAACACCTAGTGTATACATTCTAGCAATGAAGAATCACATATTTTTCTACGCTGTTAGGAAGATGTTATATAGGACTCATAAAATTGTCAATGGATTTTTATCTAGCTGAGTACTTTATAAGGAACATTAGTAAGCCCGCTGATGCGATGCTATATAAAAGAACACTTCGTCGTTTTCGAAGATTCATAATTAGAACGTCTTTAGAACTAATGGAGACACTAGTTTCAAGCAAAAAATTTGGGACAAACGTAATTTGCTGCCATAAGAGCCGAGGAGGGAATGCTTTTGCACATTTCATCAACGTTATGTATTTGAATTTTTAAGGATATCAAAAATCAGTGAGAACAATTTACGCTACCTAAATAATCATTTTTAAGAATTGTGGCCTTTGCGAACGGTCGAGGAAAACTCATTCAAAAACTGGCGTCCTGACGTGACTGAAATATCTTATAAATATCTTATGATCATACTGCATAATAATTAATATGATAACTACACGTACGTAGTCTATCCAAATCAAATAAGTATTTCAGAATTTCGGTTAACATTTCATGCTATAACACATCTACTGTATATGGGTGGATACAAATCTAATTACTCTTGGATCTTTTCCACATTTTCTGCTTGCGGTTCCGGGTAAACCGAATTCATAGAAGCAGCGACATTCCAAATGTTTGGTGAAAGAATAACGAAAATTCGTTTTAGAAAACCACTTAATGAAAAGGCTGTTTTAGAACCCCATGAGCGCACTAAATGCAACTAGTGGAGAAGATATATTTTATAGCCAACCGAAGACGCGTTATAACTTCCCATTTTCAGCCGCCATTAGGGACACAATTTTGTTCAACAGCAGATTGTTGGGGAGGGCAGGTTTCACAAAAGATATTAGTTTTCCTGCAATTTTGCTATAAAAATTTCCTCCGTAGATTGGAGCCAATCAAACGCAGACCCTAGTAGGTGATTTCCCTGCTCAAACTATTTAAGAAAATGAAGTGTGGAGAGCATTCGAATTTTGTAGGAGCATTTCTGGTGCAAACTGTATATTGTTCAGATTACCCAGCAAATAGGAACTGAGGCGTATAATGACATAAGCCCGCGTCGGCTTGCTGCATACGCTCAAATATTCACAGACCATAAAGTTTGGTGTCTGTTACTGCACGTAAAGCTTATTTTTGTGCTTAACAGACTTGATATATCTTAAAGCCCAAATCATTCAATGGGAGTGAAATCTTATGTATAAAATGACCGTTTAGAGATCATCAGTTTTATATCATGTGATCTGAACTCAGTTGCCCAAACAAAGACTGCTGAAAGGATTTATACGATTAGTGACTTTACAGAAATGGGTGAATCTAAATATGGTGTTTGGCGCCAGATAACCACTGTGAAGTGCATCTGGCCAAAACATTTTACATCTCTTAAGAAATGCTCTTCTGAGATTATACCAACTGTTTGATGAGGTCAGGCTGAATTGTAAAAGGCTCAGATAAATGTTTGAAATCGTAAAATGCCCTCGGTGGATTCTTTTCCTGTTTTGGACGGCGACAATAGTGTGCTGCGTGTGTTTGAGAAGACGGAGTGTACTCGCAGTTTTTTTGCAGACATGGAAAAGTGGAGTTTGATTTAGTATTCCAATTTTGTCCACAATTCACGCAGTCCCAACACCGATGTGAGCGTTCCGTTGGTCGTAGCCAGAAGTCAAAAGCGAACTTAATAATCCAGTCGCCTACAGTTTAAAAAAACGTCACTATGAAATACTGTCGAACTAAGACGTCACCACACAGGACCAATCATTTCTTTAGGAGCTAATCACAGTCAAATTGCTATGTTCCCATATGCTTCAAATTGGGCCAGCCTCGAGGGAAGTGATATGCATCACTCTGACTATGTCCACCTAGTGGTAGTGCACTACCGTGTCCCAAGCAAACAAATAAAAGACCACTGGCAGGGGGAGAGAGAATAAGGTTTGTTTGGTCCATTATCAATATAAATTTGACTAATTAGCCAGAAGATTCAAGGACAGCACAACCCGTTGACCGTTTGCTCATGTATCCTGCACATTCATTCCCTCACTTCCGAGGATTCGCTTAAATGCGCATGCTGCATCAGCTCGAGAGATAAGATTGTCCAAAAGACAAGTTGGCAAGCAAACGTTGCTTCCGATAAACTCTCTTCACGGGGTACAATCGAAGATGGAAGTGATTGAAAAATCGATAAAAGTTAATTTTAAAACGCAGGCTAGGCAAGAACGAAAGGGCACAGAAAGTTGTATGTGGCTTGTGAGTCTTTGACCACGGTTAGTGCGGGCCTTGAAAAAGGTTCTTCTGGACATATAGGGTCGGTTTATCCTAACGTAATTGCGTCCGCTTCTGTTGTTGCTAACAGGCGCTGGCCTAGTAGCCTAGGGTAGCTCGAGGAGACCTTTTAAATCACACAAAATGCTTTAGCGGGGTCTAGACGATGGCCTGAATCAACTGCATGCCCTTGGATGGCGCTGTCTATTCTCCTAGATTGTGAATCAAGTTGATAAATAGCCATATGTCGGTTTCTATGAACTGCAAAAGGCGTACACGCACGAAAAAACTTGCCTTTCCAGTTAATAAAACAAGTTCAGGTGCAGCATGGTAGGTGAAAAGGACAATGAACGGAAAGTTGACATGTTGTATCGACGTGAATGGTTACTTTCTCAAGTCACTGCCCATAGGGGTTTTCGCGATGGCTCCTGGTCTGAGTTTCCAGCGGCTTACCTGCAAATGGATATTAATAATCATCTTGTGTTCCATTCACGATGACACTATCCAAGACATTAACGAAGTAATAGCTAGAGTTAATGCTCCACTAATAAGCAAAACGAATGTCTCCATACAGATAGTTTTTGAATCAAAACTCCATCAGGAAATTTTTAAGTAAAATGCGTCGGTGGTGAAGTCTCCAGGACTGTGGGTTTCTTTATGGAATTCACGATAGAAATCGACGTCAGTTTGCTGTTAACTAAGAAGATGCGCAAAGTGCCGTTTTATTTTATTGTTTGAGTCATTTAATGTAGTTTAATCGATAGGCAAGAAAACTAGAAGAGACTCAAACAAGCAACAATACAAGCTTTATAAAAACGTAAAAGATGGTCCGGTCTTCTTTCGCTCAAAAGCCATATTGCTTTTTTCCTTTGTAGCTTTGCATGTTTTTGATTTGCGCCAAGTTGAAAATAACCCTATATGATAACCATGTATGCAAAATTTTCCTAGCCACTTGACAAATTTCGACATATTTCTTCAACTTACAGATTTCCTGGAATTTCATCTTGAGTTTCACGAAGTCAGTGTGGTCCTTAACAGTAATAGTAAATTATAATTGAGCGTCATTTTAATCTTGTTATGTCAATGCTAAGAAGGGACGTTTGGTTTGCAAAAAAGCGAAATTATGGACCTGTTTGAATTTCCGACACGCTTTTAGTCCTCCCTGATTGCTGCCAAACAGAAATAACTAATGGGAACAAATATAAATTTTTATAAAATCGAAGGGCTTGTAAAACATGTCAGCACTTGTAAAGTTTAATTGTGCAGTAGTAAGATACCAGTCTCAATCTCATCAGTAATTCGACATGAAAAGTCCTAAATTGGAAGACTCAGCAGGGTGCCGTACAAAGAGAACGGCATCATATTAGGTCAAACGACTTAGAATGTCCCCCTTCCAAAACAATGTATACGGATGTTTGCAATTATTTTTGTCTTGAACCATTCTCCTCCTCTTTTACATGTTTTTAAAAATTCACTTCTTGAGTGTATATCGACAAAAGTCCATTTGACGCAACTGAAAGAAGGTAACTTTCATATCGTAACCGCGGACAACCGCAGTTCATCAAGGAATGAGGAGCCGTGCTCTTCTCGCAATTAACAGCCTGAGTCGCGAAAATACCTCGATGCATGTAGAGAATATGTGGTATTGCCTGAAATTTTCAAAATTCATTGTGACGGAAGCCGTGTATCATTCTGAAGGCTTCTATAGGCGAATGCCGCATTTTTACGCGCATATTCCAGCGGAAGCATGTCGAAACATTTACTTTCATGCAATCTCAGAAAGTGTGGAATTACTGAAACGGACAACACTACAACTCGACAGACAACTAATTCATTTCGCGATTCAGAACAGTCCAGCGAAGTTACAAACACAACGCGTGGTGGCCCAAAAAAAGCACGCGTACGCCGCAATTATAAAGGGGATTTTGTGGAACCTGCTTTACCATAGAAAAACCTAACGAACCCAGCAACATATAACGGCACCAAACGCATCATAAGTTTATTCTTAGTGTTGGTAATATAAATTTCTGTTATGGACATATTTTACACCATATAGAGCAATCTCTGAGAGGCAAAACAGATGACCAACGGATTTTCTAAAATCTTGAAATAAAAATTGATGCATATCTGAAAGACATAAAGGTGTCGGAATTTGAAAGACATAACTGGAAGTTCTGGGTATAATTAACAGAAAAACCGAGCGTTTTCTCATTATACAAAGATTTGGAAGCAGAAAAAGTCTTAAATCTAAAACATCTCCCGTCGTGGCCTTCCTTTACCAAAACATTGTGTTTTAAACACTGCAATCTTCAGTAAACTCCAAAATCGTTAGTTATAAATCGCAACAGCAAACATCTAATGAAGCGTATACACAGCTGAATGAGGACACACTGATTAATCACTACAATGCAATGGAAGGCCGAGCCGCAAATGTATAGTTACTGGTGTCCATTTACACGACTACAAGAATCCGCAAACGTAAGACTAATCATTTATACAAACGTCAGCTGGCACTCCCAAATGTCATGCACACATCGGAAATCCGTAGACATGGTTTTCCACCAACCACACTGTGGGTGCACCAAGTCGGTGACAATCACTGGCAATGGTCTACCTTAAAGACAAAACACATTCGGAATCATTTGTCTAATCTGATGGAGTTACCCGCCAAGTAGTAACTATAGAAAACGGAAAAATTACTTTTCAGTTAACGATTAGACAAATTTAAACTGTGCCGAGTAAAAACGAAAAACGAAAAGTACGGCTCAGTCAGTTAGACTAGGCCACACTCCCAAGTCCAAAAAACTAAAATATTTTATATGATTTGGAAACTGCGCGAGACAGGACCTGCTTGAATGCCGGTTTACCAGTGTTACTGATAAGAAAGCTGAATGGCATCTTGCGAACATATGCTGTGTCAGGTGCCTTACTGGACAGCACAGTAAGCAGAACTGAAAACGAGAAATTGAACGCCACTTCCAATATAGTCTCATCTGAGTTGTAATCTCGAGAGTTAACGACCAGGCCATTTGATGTCCGGAAATTTAAGAATACGGTTGCACTAGTTAAAAAACAGCAAAGTATAATCTGCTGTTTTCTTATAAATTTGCACTCCGACACAATTGATTAATTTACTTGTGAGGCATGCTGAGGTTCATAGTTTTCGAGACATGAATCAAGTTTTGTCTAAATCCAAATCGTTCGGCTTTTTTTATCCCTGCTAAACTTCTAGTGTTTTTTTTTCATATCAAAACAGGATTTGCGGACATTGGATCACACGTGTACGCAGGAAAAAGTATTTAATTGTGACCTTTCATTAAAGGCCAAGTAGTTCGCATATCCGAAGTTGCATTTTACAGAACACTTAAGTCCCTCGAAAAAAGGTGTACAAACTGCTTCACTCATTAGGAGGAAGCAGAAAAGGTTAAACATAGTCTAGAAGAGCGTCGTATGATGTCCAAAAATGGGTTAGCAGCTCGACCAAAGTTGCATTTTACGTCGATAGACATTTACTTCATTTTATTTATGTTTCTCTTTTGTGCATCAGTGCTAGCACACCAATGAAATTTGTCAGCGGGCCAATAAAAACAACTATACGCATTGAACGCACCGAATTGAAAAACAGAATAATTTTACTGAACCAATGAAGATAAACTCAGAGGACAAAGTTGGGAAAAGCGGATTAATCAAATCCGACAGGTCCTTCAAAAAGATGGCATCACAGTTGCGCTCTAACTAACGCTATTTTGAGCGACTTACCGACCTTGGCTATGGTCACGCTCCGATTCGTATACGATTCGATTATGACAGGCAAACCGTTGGCTGGTATGGCAGCAACGTTGATATATTTAGTCAATTTGGGAGTTAAGTTGTAAAGTTTCACGAAATGTAGGTAACTGTGATTTAGAAAGGGAACTAAATCGCAAGATATTAGTTGCACACAGGATGCAAACAGATTATTATTTACCAATAAATGTACAAAATAATAGGAATATTCAGCAGTTGATAAGTTATAAGCATTTACTTCAAATATTTACGACTACGCAAGCGGTCCGGAAAACGCATATTATTGTTTCATTGTTTTTATGGTCAGATTTCGATCGGATTCAAATAATCTCTCTCCTTAGCATTATTACTCACGAGATAATGCATATAAAAGGCTGCGAAGTTCACCTCGATAGCTGATCAATGACTAAACCGAACAGAGGTGTTTGCCTTTTAACAGAACAAATTGCATCGAGACGAAACTTTTGACAACATCGCCATGTACGCCAGGATATATCTCGACAGCGAACACCTACTTAAGCAAGCGCCACCTTTAAGCACTTTAAAAGACTGACATCAAGTATTTCAATAGAAGATATTTCCAAAAGATGACTTTCATATAATTTAGTATTTCTAAATGGGCGTGAAGTAGTGAATATATATCTCTTTGATGAAATAGTTAATTTACTTTACAATAAGCATTCGCAAAGGGAAATCTACATTTACCAAAAAGCATTTGACTTTGCAGTCAGTCTCTACAATGGACAAGTAAGCCCAAAATATAGTTCTGATTTTCTGATCCACTATAATCTGCTGGTGATGTTCCTAAACACTTTGGCCTGTTTTTCAGTTGAATAAAATCATGTGCTGATTTAAATTTTATTTGAAGCGTATATACAGATGGCCTTGTTTTTCTCACTCAACAACTGGAATTTGTTCACGAATCAGTCTATTTGCTGAAGTTCTTATCTTTTTAGCCCGAGCAATCTCTTATTTTGTAGTTCCTTTGATGAATGTGCCGACGACTGACCGAGCACTTTTTCCAATAAAAGAGCAACTGCAAAAGTTGTTCAACATTTATACACTTCGAGGTAAAAACAACCTTTACGCAAGTAACAAAAACAACAAAATAGTTGACAGGAAAATCTGGAACGTTCAAAGCAAGTTTGTACATCGAGCGATCCGAAAAATTTTCGTACTTTCGGTCAGTATGGTTTGTAGCCAGTAAGTTAATAAAATGAGTAGAAGTTTGACAAAATATTCCATAGCATGGTTGCCATCGCATCTGTCTGCTTGTGTTAACGACCCAATAAAAGTCCGTATATTTCAAACATTTGCACTCAGAGGAAAAAACAAAAAAAGGCAAATATATCATATAAAATAATGCAACGATCGGATAAAGGACTCCAAACATGCAGCCGACCAGCCAAAGGTGCCTGTCTTACTGGAAAGGTGGTAGAAGGGGTTATAAGGGCGGGGCCTGTGTATGCATAGAGGAATGGCAAAATAAGTATAGATAATTGGTAAATTCGTTTTTATGGCGGAAAAATTTTGATGCATTGATATGCAGAAACCGAAATTGGGCCGGAAAATTAATTAAAATAAATATTAAGTGTGTACATCGATCGCTTCTCAGCTATCTGAGCTTAGGTCATTGTAGAAAATCCACCAGACCGTCTACGACAGACGATCCATCTTTGGACGATAAAACACCAAACCGAAATAATCATGCCGGACTAAAACCCACTTAAATAAGTGTAGTTGGTATGCTTTATATGCCACAGATGCTTGGGGTCCTTCGCCCGATCCTTGCCTAAAATAATTACTTTACAACGTTCAAACATGCAAACATGGATAATAACTTTGATTGTCATAAGTTGGAAAAAAGGCGACATTACCATGTGTCGCGCCTTTCGTTCACCAATAGCTGTATTGTTTGTGAAAGAATCAACCGAATTCCAAACATTTTTGCTTGAAAACGATGGTTTCTGTAAAAAATTCAACTCGTCATCTGTTTGCTTTATACTCATTTTGTCGTCTAATTTTGATCAACTTAAATAATGAGTGAAAATTCCGTTCTCCCATTAAATGTTTCTTACTTGTATTCCTTTCGCCCACAAATCCCGAAGTCGACATATACTCATGTGACTTCGATGAATAAATAGATATAAACTCTCCCAATCATTTTAATAAAAGGCGCACACTAAAGCAACGAGAAATTTTTTCAGAAGTCGGCCTGCGTATTGCATGCATGAGCACGTACACGCAAGGACTGGCGGCGGCTAACAGTTATGCAACACCTCCACCTACGAGGCAGTTTACTGCCTTTTAGTTGGCGGTATATAAAAGGTAATAATGGCTGACCTACTTCACATGTAGGCAAGACCATACTGTCTTTCATTTATATTTAGCATATTCTATGTTGAGTTAAGCACTTGAAATGGAAGGTCACTGCCTATGTTGCTGATAGAAAAGACCAAGCTTAAGAGAGCGAAAGTGTCCGAATGTTTCGTTTAATGCGATGATTTAGGTAATTTATGACTTCTTATGGACATCTGTCAAAAAAGGAATACGTCTTTGTGTTGACATTTTTGTTACTTGGTTCTTTTCGTTGACATTCGCAGTCCGCGGAGAATTTATGGCTTTGGATCCCCTTCAAATTCTTTTGAAGTTCAGTATGTTAAATGTGACAGTGACATTGGTTGGCTGTTAAACGGCGTAACTGACCAAACCACCGTGGAACAAGACGGACGCAAAAGAAAAGGAGTAAAAAAGGAGGCCATTGCAGGGATAAGGCATCAAGTTCCAATAAACGAACTTTATAAATGATATACGCGAGTACTTGTACACCTCTTCAGGATCATTGCCCACCCTTCTCAGGAAATACCGTTGCAAACGAAAGCGGTTACTTTTGCCGATCAGTACCTTATGACAATGTGCAGCACAGTACGTTTGACTGTGCCACGACTAATATCATGTGGAAATTGTCTCCCGAGAAAACGCCTTGGAGAACAGCAGCCTATTCATTCGAAACGGTTATAACCAAATGTGGCCTGCCAAGTAGAAATTGGACGACGTCCTCTTTTAACTATAACTCTTAAAGTCACGTTTAAATAATGTTCTTCAGGTTTCCTTGCTCTCAGACATAACAGAGCGCTTTTGTTTTATTTTGAAGACTCTTGGTCCAGTGCTCACGTAGGCAGCCACTACTAATAAGAAAGTCGGCGGAATGGCCAATGTTTGATTATTTGCCGTCAGCAGCAGGTGCTAACCAAGTTTCAAAACGGGTAATGGCGAGGCTAAACACTACTTGTTGATCTTACAGACATATGCTAGTTTCCACTTTTATATGGTTTGAACTGAATTTATGGGCCTTGTAATTTTAGAAATACATACGTTTTGTGCATTGAAAACGTCCCTGGTACAAGTAATATGTGATAATTTAAAGTCAGGGACAAAATGGCAACTATGGCGAACGAGAACTGTATGAATGTCCCTCACCACAAAATCAGGAAGACGTAGAAATGTCAAAGTCCGGCGGTAGATGAACATATTTTTGCATGGTCATGTTAAAGTGGGGAGTAATCTGTGACATTAACAATATGCCAATTAAAAAGTGATCTAGATGTTTCAAGAACACGTAAGGTCAACAGAGGACTGTCCCGTTTGTGGGTCAAACTTCAGTACAAATTAATACTTGACAGTAACGTGGCGTAATTATGGACACGGAGATCAGCGGTTAATCATTTCGAAGGCAAATGCAGAAGCATAACTTATAACAGAACCACTCTGTAACCCAAAATGTACAAAATCATTGAGATGGAAACCGACAAAGTTTATTGATAAAAGGCTTCAAAATTAAATATACTAATAAGCCTGCTACATAAAGTTGCGCTTGGCAACAAAAAACTGATCAACATTGCAGTTCATTTTACGTAGTTAGCTTGGTATATCAAGTGTCTTGGGATTCCAGATGTCAACTGAGTGGTTCGTTTCGTAGGCATGTTATCTTAATAATAAGGTTACTGGTAATTATATCGTCTGTAGTAACTGATAAATTTTTGTAATCCGTAGGGCGTGCCACTCATTTTGTTCCAGGCCCGACGATCAAGACTTCAAAGGAACAAAATGTGGCCACTCCGATCCTATCGGAATAGGAATGTCATGGAGTCTGCATGAGAGTCTGACTCTCCATCCTGAGAGATTCGGGGTATCTCGTCAGTTGGAGACCTTCTTAGTCACGACTATGAGGGTACCGCGATACAGAAGATGAAGATGCGGTCACAGGAACAAGAAGTTTATTTGCCTGACGCTTCGGATTCTCACTCGAATCCATCATCAGAGACATTCGCAGATAAAGGTGATGGTGGCACTCGGAATGCAGTATTTATAGCACGTGGCTGCCGTGGGACCGCATGCGCACTGCAATTAACAGTTCTCAGAATCACCGCTGGGGTCATATTTGATGCGGTGGTGGATTTTCGGTCCGAGTCCGACACCACAGACCAAAATTCTGGGCTCGGTATGTGGATGGCACCTTCGTCGTCATCGAACGGAATCAGGTGCTGACGTTCAAAGAACAACTCAACGCCGTCTTCCCGGACATTCAATTAACGATGGAGGAGGAGGAGGAGGAAAACAATCAGCTGGCCTTGCTGGATGTCCTCGTCTGCCGCAAAGATTGTAGTGGCCTAAAAACCAGTGTTCAGGAGAGCGACAAATACGACGCAAATATTGAACTTCAATAGCAACCGCCCGATCAGTCACAAACGCAGTTACATAAGGGCGCTATATCAGCGCGTTGAGACGCACTGCAGTGAAATGTAAGACAAGGTTGCTGAAGTACAATATCTTCGACGGGTAATGGGAGCCAATGTTTACCCGCGCAACTTTGTCAACCAGTGCATACGGAAAGGCCACCAAAAACCAAATCCAACCGGCCCCAAATTTTGGCGGGCTCTTCCGTACGCGAAGAACGTCTCGGAAGCCGTCAGTCGTCTTCTCACTCCACATGCAATTGGCGTTGCCATAGACCAGAAGCAACTATTAGGCGCCAAGTCATGAGGCCAAAAGACCCGCTGCCACGGCAGGAAACGTCTGGAGTCGTTTACCGGAACTCGTGTAGTTGCGGACAAAGCAATTATGTCGGGAGACTGGGAGATTACTCCGTACGCGAATTGCCGAGCACGTAGCAGCAATGAGACGGGGAGACGCTTACTGTCAGGTGGCGGCACACTTAACGGGACCCGGCCATATTCTCAAAGTTCAAGAGACCGAAATCCTCCCCAGGAGTGACAACCGTGTGAGCCGCAAACTGCTCGACTCATGGTTCCCAGGCCCGCAATCCATCAACAGGCACAATGACCTCCCGGTACCATATACCGTACTGCGATTTTCCCGGAGCAGGAGAATCAGTCAAGTGGGGAGGGCGCGGGCGACAGTGAGCCAGCTTGCCGAGCAATCGTCACACCAGCATCCAGCACGAATGACGAAATCACGGCAATTAACGACTCGGGCTCGGACCGACAAGCCACCACCGCATCGATTACGACCCCAGCGGTGATTTCGAGAACTGTTAATTGCAGTGCGCATACGGTCCCACGGCAGCCACGTGCTATAAATACTGCACTCCTGGTGCCCCCATCACCCTTATCTGCGAATGTCGCTGATGAGTTAGAATCCGAAACGTCAGGCGAATAAATTTCTTGTTCCAGTGATCGCATCTTCGTCTTCTGAACTGCTAACTGGAACTCGCCTATTCACTTCTATCGGTACCGCGATAGTTCAAAAGTACATCGGATTGTTCGAAGTTAGCAATAACCGTTGAGTGCCGTGGAGGGCAGCCCCAGAACTCGACAAAACTCTCTCTCAGGCATCAATCCGCTGTTCGAGTCGATAAAAGATCTGATACTGTAGGTGAATTACGGAGCCAAGCGTCCCATCTAAGCCTACAAATCACCACCTGCGTCAGAACAGCCATCACCTGCGCAAGTAAGTGGTGACAAAAACCTATCTATGTCTTGGACAGCACAGTTTCAACCGGGGCGTAACGGCCTAATATTCCCGATTCACTCGCCATGCCGAATTGCCGGTTTCTTTATCTTGACTCTATGTCTTTTGTAGAATACTGGAGGTGTATACAGCGTGCATAGCTAAAGAACCAGATGGTAATGAACGGAGAGTGGTTGCAATAGACATCAAACGACTTCAACTAGTGGCAAGTGTTATGACAGCGACGTTAGCAATATGCATATGGTCCCCATCGAGAAAATCATAGCAACTCGCAAACTGGTTTTTTGAACTTGGCTCTATCGTTAGTACTATGGCGTAGACTGTCTACTAAGGTTTTTCAGTAAAAATTTGTTTCCAAGTAATACGTATATTAAACTAAAGAGGACAAAGTGGCCCGATATGTCACCGAGAAATCTTGGTTCTACCAAAACGTCTGCTGTTTGCGATCAGTGCTTTTGACGATCAGGGAGTTTCATTCAGACATCAAGCTCACATTTTACGTATTTCAGCCAAACTTCGCTTTATTCTCTTCTGGAATGATTCATCATATTTCCGCGATTTGTAAAAAAGTATAAAATCACCGAAAAGAAGATAAGTTCGTAAAAAAATAGCCATAAAAAAGACCGTTGGATAATCATTCGGTCGGGATAATTGTTTTTAAGGCTACAGTCAATTGTGACAGATGACGGCACTCATGTCGACATACTCCTCTTTCCGGATAATAACTCGGTGAGAAAATGGGGAGTAAAAAATGAGGAGTACCAATTAAAGAAATCTACAAAGGTCCTCAGCGGTTTGTTTTGCCTACAGGTTTTTTTTGTAGAAACCGTAACTAAAGCCAATATCCAGTATTTTACGTAAAGTCGAAAATTTTATGTGCGAGTGACGTTATTTGCTTACTTTACTTACGTCTACATAGTTTCATCAAAATATGTCCAGAATAAATTGGCAAGTCCACGTTTTTTGTGACCATCGACAGATAAAGCAATTGTTATTTTGTCCTTATTCGAAGTCGGTCATTGAGGTTGTTTTTTATAATGAGGCGAAGCTAGACTTCCGATTTCCTGGCCTTTGATAAAAAAATTAGGACATTTTTTAAATACCTATACAAATTGTGATGAAGGATGTGTTATGATTGCTTCACTTTTTGGGATGGGATATAAAAGCTGACGTCTCTGCACAGAACGACTTAAATCCACATGTCAGGCCTATTAACTATGAGTACCTGATCGAATTTTTACAATGAAAATTGGCTGATCCCTTACTGATGAAGGCTCAAATAACAATGCATTTTAAAATTGACTTTTCTGTTTTTTTCAAGGGATAGGTCATCCAATACTGCCATCGGAATCACGAATTTCTTCTGTTTTTGAAAAGAGGATATGTTAGAGAAACAAAGATAGAATTGCTTGAGAGATAGTTTGTCGTCTTTTTTGCTGTTCTAGTCGCAAACCCATTTTCAGAGACAGCAAAATGCAAAGGCGTAGGACACCTCACATTCAAACTATCCAAAATTTCAGTTTGTGCTTTCATTGCAGGTTGTTGTACCCCTCACAATGATTGCTTTATTACTTGCATCTGGTTTGTAAGTGGTCGCGACTTCGTTATCAGAATTGTTGGTATGATAATGGCCCTTTAATTAAAGTCCGGGTTCTCCTTTAACTCCTTAAAGGCTAAACGTTTCACAGGAGGCGGAACTACGTAGGTCCCGTTCGCCGTTCACCGACATGTATAGCTACCTTCGACCTCCATATTCGGCTCTAGGGCTGGACAGTCACGCATGGAGTGCGTCAGTGAGCATTTCTTTCGATGACCGTAGTAGCGATCTCACATACCCCGCCATTATTACGTCGAACAACAGCACTGATGATAAGATCATGACAACTGACCACTGGGGCTCAGATGAAAAAGCGACAGTCCCACAAAACTAACATCTGCGATGAATGCGAGGTCACCAAAAGTGACAGCTGCGTGGCTGCCTAGTATATATCGGATACACGTACAGCCGTTACCCTTGCTTGTGGTTGTATATTGTGGTGGGTTTGTGGTTTACTCTGAGGCGTCAGACGAATATGATCTTTATCTCTGGCAGTCGACTTCGCGTCCATTTAACAAAATGGTATAGAAGAGCCACTTTCAATTCTCCCCGTAGGTACAACTGCAAATAAGACAGAGTCTGCAGACGCTGACTCATTGTAAAGTGAAGTGATTCTAGGAAAACGATAGAAGTACAGATTGACATAAGGAAACAATTCTTCAAAATTGCTAATAAATACAAAATACAAACGTCAGTAGTAGCAGTACCTTCATTTGGATGCCGTTGACATTGACCCAAGATTTAGGCGACGGTATGTGCATGAACTCCGTTTTATCCGTGCTGATGCTCAGCCCGAAGTTGGCACAGCCGGAGGGGAAGAATTCCATGCCTCGTTGCATATCGGCGTCTATCACTGTGTCGAGCGCGATATCTTCCGTTAAGAGCAGGTCGTAGACAGTAGTCGTGAATGGACGCGTCGCGGTCTGCCTCCGTCAAATACTGAGAAGATAGCCATCGGCACTGTAGACTACACAAATGCAGAGAGCCCTCATCCCGGCAGGCGTCCACCAGCATGAATGAGGAGGGTGAGAGTAAGAACTCAGCCCTAAGTCACTCTGTTGGTCACTTTAAAGGTGTCTGAGACGGCCCAATTATCTGTAAGTGCGCCGTCATTCGGTCGTGGAGAGCCGAATATCTGCATGATTTTCTAGAGTCCATTGCGATTTGCCGTGTCGAATGGTTTCGTTAGATCCACAAAGATAGTGTAGAAGTAGGTTCGCATTTCGTGCTATTCCTCTTGCAAATGGCGAGCAGCAAATATCGTCTGTGGTTTTGCAGAGTCGTCGGAAGAAACACTGCTTTTTCTGGGTAAGTCCCTATTCTTGATAGCCGCCGACAAGGTTAAGGGGAATGCTAGCGATATGAAGCAACAGAATTCCTCTGCAGTTGTAAGAGTGCCTTCGGTTCCCTTTTCTCTTGGAGATATGGAAGATTGTTGAATCCTTAAAATCCTGAAGAACTTCTCCGCGGCATGCTATTTTCTGGAAGAAAGCTGTAGTTTTTCACCAGCCGAAGGCCGTAGTCCCTGTAAACATTGGACGGAATCGCGTCGAATCTCGATGCGTCACCTCTGAACAGCTGGTGAATGGTTCTAATGGTGTTTGGAAGGGAAGGCGGGAGGTCTACGATGAGTGACCGATCTCACGAAATGTTGGCTGAGATTCTAAAATGCATTTTCGATTAGGAAGAATTTCTTAGGCGCGGTTGTAATGGTTATTATCATGTGGCATAATCCTAAAATATTTCAGACTTGGCGGGATGTCGGCTTTTGAATACACAGTTCTTAAATCACCTGTACAAACCGAAGTCGGTTAAAAATGATTGTTTAAATAGCATGCACTCTTCACACTAATGGTCGATGGTCTTATCAATTCAAGTATATTTAAAAAAAGGGGAAAAAATTATCTTTTTTACTCGCGTAATGGAAAATCACGTCCACTTCATATTTCATACTTAAAAACAAGTATAACTGGGTTTTAAATTTTCCTCTAATTCCCGGACAACTTAGAGCCCGGTCAGTCGTTGCATTAGCGCGTAGATATTTAAGTCTACAAGGTGCATGCATTCCGCTAAAGAAAATCGCATATTCTTCTATGCCTTTAAAAAGATACCACACAGAGTCCATAAAATTTTGCAATGGATGCAGACTGTAATGAACTTTTCATGAGGAGCAGTGGTAAACGGACAGGTCCGATGCTGTTTGAACGGACACTGAACGGCCTTAAAAATCTCATAATTATAAACTTTTTAAAAGCTAATTATACTCCTTCCTGGAGTATAAAATACAAAGATGACGTGATTCTCTATCACACGACTGAAACAAAGCATATTTTTGTTCATGATAAATATAAAATATATTTGGATTTGCCAGACCATTAAAAGTCAATGGGAAAAATGTATGATACACAAGTAGTAATTTTTACCGGGTACGGTTTCTACGGGAGATTAAAAAGCAGTGCATTCAATCGCGCCTAAGTACTCCTATCCTAATCGAAAATGTATTTCAGAATTTCAGTCAACATTTTATGAGATCGGTCACTCACTGTGGGTTGTTGTTCGTGCCCCCTTGAGGGGTCTGTTCGATTGTGGCGTCAGGAATCCTAGGTAGGTGGTTAAGGACACTTCTGGAGTGCACTGCCCAGCGTTTCAAAGGCTGCGATTTCTCCGGCGAATGTGTTGTTCCATCGGGGCTGAGAAATGGAGCCGCAGAGTGCCTTGGTTATAGAGCGTAAAGTCTTCGTTTCACTCCTGGATTCCCTCGGCTTCTGTTTGTTTACGTTCTTCGACCGCGCGTTTCGTATCTGCTAGTCACGGTATACTGGCAGTTCGAACGGTTCCCTAGAATTTATCCAGAGCACCTTCTCTAATCCTTACCTTCCGGGGAGTACGTAGCGCTATTCCTTAGTAGTAGCTGCCGATCTCCGCTATGAGTCACGGTGTTTTCGTGGAGATTGGACCGAGTTAGTCGTGCTCGCGTGCCTGATTGCATGTCGTCCCCTCCGTAGAACCCTTCGAAGTGAAGGGGAGGGAGGGGAGGAAAGGGAAAGGGAGAGGGAGGGATGGGAATAGGAACAAAATTACTGGATGTAGGGCTACACAACATAGACACATGCATTTGGAATAGCCCGCCGATCGAGTCAGTTAGAGGCGTGTGGCTGCCAGTTAAAGGCGAACATCGGGGAGAGGTAGATAACAGTCAGGTTGTCATTTAAGGACTATGAGGAGCAGCCACGATTTGTATGATGCCACCCACCATACATATGTACAAGGGTACCGCCTAGCTGGAAGCCCTACACCCAATGAATCTACTCGGTCTTATGCGCCTTCATGAAAATTTGCGTTTAACCAACGTAGAGTAGAACACTTCATCACGCATTTCTCCATGAGCACGTGCGGCACACATGAACACACGCGACATCACCCAAAGCAAGCAAAACACACGTAAATGTAAAGTGTGTTCTTCGGTTTCTTCATGCACCTCCTCTGCTACATGCAAGATTGGAGGGTCGAATACCTACGTAAAGTCTCCGTGTGTGCGTGTGGAAAAGGGGTCAGGTCGTTTGTGTGGAACATGCAGACAAGATTCTTCCATTTCTCTTAGTCACCTCGCGTAGTCTCAGCATCGGTTGGTTGACCGATCGACTAGTGCACAGAAAAGAATAGCACGATCAAGGTCGCCGACTCAGCGCATCTTCCTCGCTATAGACAATCTGGTGCGCAGGAAACTATCCCGCAGCGCTAAAAATCGCGTCTTAGGAGGCTGCCAACTGCCGGGATAATTCTGATCTCACAGTCAGCTAAGCAAGTATTTGGGTGGAGTGGCAAACTGATGGACTGAGTGCCAGGCTGAAATGACTCCTTCTCAATGTGACCTCTATGGTACTCTCACTTAATGGTGTCCAAGTCTTGGTGGTGGTACGCGCTGAGGTGCTGGTTTTCGCGTGCCAGCCACTTGCTCCCTCTCCTCCCCCGGTTTTCTGTCATGACACGAGATTTAGGTGGAGCAAAAACAAGGGGTACGGCAAATGCTGCCAAAGTCTACTATCAATATAAACGGAGTCCGGCGCAAGTTACCCCCCCACTACTCTCAGCCTACTGTGGAGCACAAAATGGACATCGTCAAAAGGGACTGTCAGACTGTCAATCGAACCTATCATTCCGACTGAAGGATGATAGTGAACAAACGTGGAAAGCTTCGACTGAATCTGAGTTTGAGCGTTTGATAAGTCGCAAGAATAAAAACTGTGTTATAATTCTAGCGAAAAATGTCATATGCCTTTTCAAGTTCACACATCGACAACAAACGTAAATATCCATTTCAGATTGTTCAACGTTTGTCTTCCATGGAATTCAGCTACAGCTGTTTAAACATACTTTTTTTCCGCTAACAGTTTCCATTTTTACATTTTTCGCGCGGAAGCCAATCGATCTACGCAGAAGTCGCGGAAAGTTGATTCAAATAAAAGATGGTCTTCTAGGTGCAAGCCGAACTGTGATTTTTTCGAGGCCTCAGAACAAAATTCCAAGGTTACTTTTCCGTCAGTTTATAGGCAAACATAAGGAAATTTTGATTAGGCCGGCCAACCATTTCAAGTTGTTCCGCAAGTGAGATAAGTGTCCTAACTCATAAAATGCTAACCAAATTTCCGAAATGCGTTTTAGACCCGAAAGGATTATTGAAATAGCATTGTAACATTAACCGTCATGCAGCATAACCTTATAAGAATTCAGTTACTTTAGAATATCTGTGAAAAATGACTACTTAGCAAACACACATTTTTGTCAACGATTTCCGAGATGAGTTCAATTAGATTTCGTTGAAAGCATGCACAAAAAGATTCACTCTGGTTGCAGCTAACAAGCGAGTTCCAGTTAGCAGTTCAGAAGACGAAGATGCGATCACTGGAACAAGAAATTTATTCGCCTGACGTTTCGGATTCTCACTCGAAACCATCATCAGAGACATTCGCAGATGAAGGTGATGGTGGCACCAGGAGTACAGTATTTGTAGCACGTGGCTGCCGTGGACCGTATGTGCACGGCAATTAACATTTCTCGCAATCACCGCTGGGGTCGTAATCGATGCGGTGGTGGCTTGTCGGTCCGAGTCCGAGTCGTTAATGGCCATGATTTCGTCATTCGTGCTGGATGCTGGTGTGACGATTGCTCGGCAGGCTGGCTCCTTGTGACTGTGATCGTTGCTCGCGCGCGCCCTCCCAACGTGACTGATTCTCCTGCCCGGAAAAATCGCAGTGCGGAATATGGTACCGGGCTGGAAACATCTGTAGTCGTTTACCGGATCCGGTTTAGTTGCGGACAAAGCAATTGTCGGAGAAACTGGGAGATTACTCTGTACGCCAATTGCCGAGCACGTTGCAGCAGTGAGGCGGGGAGACGCTAACTCTCAGGTGGCGGCGCACTCGATGGGACCCGGCTATATTTTCAAATTTCAAGAGGCCAAAATCCTGGCAAGGGGTGACAACCGCGTGAGCCGCGAGCTGCTCCAGTCATGGTTTTCAGACCCGCAATCCATCAACAGGCACAATGACCTCCCGGTACCATAAACCGTACTGCGATTTTCCTGGAGCAGGAGAATCAGTCACGTGGGAAGGGCGCGGGCGAGCAATGAGCACGGTGACAGTGAGCCAGCTTGTCCAGCAATCGTCACACCAGCATCCAGCACGGATGAGGAAATAGCGGCCAATAAAGACTCGAACTCGGACCGATAAGCCACCACCGCATCAACTACAACCCCTGCAGTGATTGAGAGAACGGTTACTTACAGTGCGCATACGGTCCCACAGCAGCCACGTGCTATAAATACTGCACTCCTGGTGCCACCATCATCTTCATCTGCGAATGTCTCTGATGATGGTTTCGAGTGAGAATCCGAAACATCAGGCCAATAATTTTTTTGTTCCAGTGATTGCATCTTCATTTTCTGACGATTTACTCGTTTATCCCTTTCGTGAAAATTTACTTCTGCACTAAATTTCATATCTGAAGAAAAGAGATACTTCAATTTTAAAAAAAGTTCCTTATTGTGAGAGTTTTTTAAACTGAAATATCTATTTATAAAACATCGTGTGTCTGCATTTATTAATGTTACTTTAAAAATTTAAAATATTGCTCAAACCTACTGACGTGTTCTAAGAACTCCATATAGTCTCTTCGAGTAAGATATAGAAATGTATGATTCTCCGTACAATTAACTATACACCCTTTGATTTCGAAAGGTAACGTCGCATGAGATTTAGAATTTTTCGGGAATTTGGAAAGTTTTTTAAAAGCGAACTATACCTCGTCCTTAAAGATAAACTTAAAGAAGACGTAATTGTCTATCACACGAGCAAAAGGATAAATATTCTTATGCATGCTTTCTATGAGATATATGTGAAGTTTCAAAGACATCGAAAATCAATGGGACAAAATCCTGCTAATTATGTATTCATTTCTCAGGGTGAAGTTTTTTCAGACTGCCGAAAAGAAGTTAATTTAAAAGCTGGCACCCTGAGGTAACTGAATTATTACGGGAATATGCTGCACGATGATTAATATTACAGGCCCACCCAAGTAATCTTTTCGAGTTAAAAGCGTATTTCAGAACGTTGATTAACATTTCATGAGTTAGCACATCTACTGTAACGCGCAGAGCCCGAATATTTCGAAATTCCAATAAACCGTGGCCTGTGCGACCGCCCACAAGATAGCTTGGTATAAGACTTTACATAGACGCAATTTAAAATGGCATAACTCTCAAACAGTTGATTATTTTACTTTTAACAACTTGAACTTTTTGAAATGCATTCGAGTCAAAGGCGAACGGAGACTAGTTCATTTCTATATCTGCTGGGGTGTTTGGGCGGGTAAGGTGAATTTAAAATTTGGATCCTCAATAAGACAAAACATTTTGGAAAGCAATTATTCCACACATGACATAAGCTTTGCGCTCATAACTACAGACCTACAAAATCTAAAAAAACTGTTTTCAAAATACCTTTTGGAAATAAATTGTATATTGACTTAATGAAACCCAGCAGAGATGAAGAAACACGTAACGGCGGTAATCTGTCGCTGTTGGCCATAGTTGATTAAAGGTAAGTACTTGGACGGTATAGTGATACAAATAAGCACTCATGTCTAGTCAGAGCCCGATAAAAATTGTAAAAATAAATGATAAATAATATCCTGCAGTGATACCAGATGGGCGTAGTATGTCAGTAAGACCATAAAAGGAACTAAGGAGGATCTAGATGGTCACGCTGGGACTAGCAAAACGTCGTGCATTTTTAGTACCTTACCGATCTGTACTGAAAAATGTGCGCTTTTGTAAAAAGTGTGTTTTTAGTTTATTTCGTCGAACTGTCGTTTGTAAATTTTGGCAGGTAACCACTTGAGTTACTTGCAGCCCAGGACCAACTCTGCAAATCCATGCATACTTTATTACCATATAAGAGTAATTCGAACTTTAATACTCAATGAAAAAATACTTGCCACAATTGAAAATTGATTTTTCTCGCGCCAGAGTGACATTTGAAAAGAACATGTTATTTTATTAAACCATATGTTCTTATCGATATAATAATTGAAGTTATGTTTGTGTGGTTTTACGTTTCATAAACAGCAATGAGGACTTCCATTAAGGTTTTTTTAAACACACCGACATTTTCCTGCTACTTACTATTTTTCAGTATTTTCCCGTGAAAAAACACATCTCCAATGGACCTCCATAACCCCTATACACGCGGTCAGGGACTGCTTTCATAGTCTAGTTGCTGCTTGTGCATAATTTAAAAACCAAACCATCAAAGCACTGATAGTTTGGCAAAGTCTTAGTATTTAGATGATCATTTTGTTGTGCATTTACAACCTTGCAGCCGAGTCTAAAAGCATGCGATGAAACGAAAAATGCCTCTTTTGTGAAGAAAACAGCAACGTATTTTGTTTGCAGCCGCAACATTATCAGTATTTGACAAGAAGAAGGAAAATGCGACTAAAAGTCCCAATTTCGCCATTTATTTTGGAAAAACTCAAAGTGCGTGGACATTCATTTTCAACTTATCATACAGAGGAATTTTTTTAAGGGAACAACAGGTTAAAGAATGAGTTCCGAGCACATTCGATCGTATGCATTGCCAAATAATCTTGGAGAATTCTGTTTTATGTCGATGTAAGTACTCATATTTGGCCCGTCAACAAATTTCACCCAAACGCCAGCGCCATAAAAAGGCCTCCAAAACCGATGCTTGTGTACATATTTGCAAGAAATATCCTAATCTAAGAACTACGACAGATAAAACCCTCAGTAACCATTTTTGGGCAGTCGACAAAAAACAGTAAAAACTGCAAAGTATTCAGTTCCGCTTCAAACACGGCGTATCCATCCGGCGCCAGACCTAAACTGTAATTTAACTAATGAGTACGTCTCTTTGTGCATAGGAAACAGTGTCTTTATGACTGCATCTGCTGATTCTGGCCGAATTTGCTAGGCATTTAACGGACTTTCAGCCTATGATCTTATGGAACCATTCGTGTCTTTGGCGTTTTGTTCAAAAAATCAGTCGCAGTCATTTTTAACTAATTGCATCCCAAAAAATTCAAAATTACGAATCTACATTATGCCCTTGTGGAACGATTGGGACGATTTAATTTAATTTAACTTTAATTTAATTTTCGTATCCCACCGAGGCGCCGAAATTTTCACAGTTGGGTCAATAGGAATTATTAAAAATCTGCCAAAATATCGATGGATTACGTGAGTATGGTAGTCATCTGGTGGATTCTAGGTGAATAACTTAGGCAATCCTGCTTGGGCAGTCAACTTACTGTATCAGATTTGGTGGATTCCAGACGTTGCAGTAGGTTGGGCGGGTAACTTGACCCAAATGGGATTAAACTCGAGTCATCCGGCGGGGTCTCGTAGCTCAGGTGGTTAGACCGTTGGCTGTACTAAAGTCTTCTCCTTACTGTGCGGGTTTGAATCCCACCGAGGGGCCGACACTTTCACAGTTGTGTCACTAGGAAATATTTAAAATCTGGGAAAATATCGATGAATTTAAATACACGGTGCGCAATCACCTATATAAGATAATGAATTGATCACCTGTCTTAGGATATATTTTCCTCAAATATATTTAAAATTTACTGTGCTAGTCCTTATTACGCTTGTTATACTAAGTTTGCCTGGCCGTTTTTGTAGACGCGCCGCAGTTACCTCTGAAAATCAAACCTATGTGACACGATTTTCTGCGTTTTTCGTAGTTCTGATGTTTAAAAAGGTTATTTGCAAACAACGAGCGAACTCTTTTGGCTTTCGAATTTTACTTGAATTTGCTTACTCTTGGCTCAGCCTTTTGGCCGATGCATTTGGGATAGTTTTCAAGTGAAAACGAATGTTTCATTAACTCATGAATATTATTTGTTTTGGATAACATATTGAGGCTACATTTTGTCGTTGCTGTGGGTTATTCGACTTTATGCAACTTTCCAAAAGGATAGAATATTTCAACTTTTTATGCAAAACCTTAGCGATCCTTATTTAAACAATCTCTTGCGCTTAAATATCCGAAAAAAGGCTGTTTTTTTCCAAGGGAACAATGGCGCCCTGTTCCTCACTTTTAAAGATTACGTTCTATACACAGTGAATGATTATTCTGTTAAGACGCGTTCTAAAATCTTAGTGAAAATACAATCTAGGTTCGTCACGCAAATAAAAGAAACATGTATTAAGGGGATTCCTTTCTGAAATTGATCTAAAGACGCCAATGAACGGCCCCCACCCCGAAAGGAAGCCAAAAAGTTAAATTGCGCTATAGGTTATATCCCAAACTGACTTTCTTCATTAGGAACACTGTTGCTAATTTGTGAATGACAACAAATCTATGGATTTTATATCAGTTACATATCTGAGACTCTAATTTTATTTCCCGTGAAGGATAATAAGGTATTAGTATTAAGTAAAACCGAATTGATAAATTTTAACATCTAGCGCTGTTTAAGCATACACCAATATCTGTTGGAAAACAAACTCTGCCAGAAAAATTGCGACAAACCTTTAAACAATAATAATATTGCGTCTTCGGTAGAACGAATGCAAAAACGCCATAATCAGCAGCTAGATGAATGTTTTGCCATTCAGTTTTCCTACGTCAGAGAAGTGCCGAATACAGGACCTGTCAACATGGCTACACGACTCGTGTCTAGTGAATATTGCTGGAGGAAGGTTGACATAGAATATAAAAGCGCAGTCTTTTGTCCAGTCGTAAAGTTGGGAATGTAGCCAACGTTGACAACAATTTTTTGTTTGATATTAACACTAGATAAATATCATGAAAGGAACGAGAACTGCTATATTTTTGATCAGAGAATGACGGTAAACTGGCAAACGCGAATGGTATTATCATAAGTCAAGCAAGTGGTACACTTCAAAAATATGTAAAGGAGCTAAATAAATCGAGATTATTACATTATTTGGTTAAATTATGAATTTCGTTAATATTTTACAAAGAGAATTTAGCCTTTCTGGCAGTATCACATTTACACATTCAAACGAGCCTACCACTTTTTCCGCATCTCTCAGTCAACCTTCAAACAGGAATGCTTGGAAAAGTCACGTGGAAACTCTAAATGTTTAGGTTAACCACTTGAATATTTGTATTCGCATGATGTCTCAGCGTGTAAGAGCACGCAAAAGCTGATACAAATCTAAACGGTTTTGATTTTACGACCTTATTTGCGGAAAATCAAACGTTTAGCAACTTCTGGACGACCGGAAATAAATGGAAGAATGCAGGCGGTACGGGTAAATATCTCATCAATTTCAATGATGTTTTTGAGAATGTTGCGGAATTTAGGGAGCAAATGCGACATAAAAAACAACGCATCGCCCTCCGCAAGCCTGAAATACAAGGCAAATACTACATTCCGTGCGTAAGTGATTCAACCGTGGTCTGTGAAAACAAAGGCAGAAATGGTCACAACAAATGAATTAAAATAACTGGACTGAAGCTGCAGAAAGGCCTGAAAGAACATCTCATAGCGACTGGGCATATAAATCTGGGCCCTCATTTTAATTTTAAGATTAGAAAGAGGGAGCACGTTTTTCTGGCCGCACGATAAAGGCAGACTTGGCTGAAGCAACAGACCAACTGAGAAATCCTCCTTGTAGCCACCTGCAAAGCGCGGTATCTCTCGTTCATCACACGGATGTTTCTGGCTATTTACTATGCCTGGTGGTTGAACCACTGATTATTCTATATATTGCGGTTGCTAAAATAATTCGTGAAAGCTTTTTATTCCCAAGCACTTGCGACTAATGCGTTTGGGTAAAATTAACGACTTGATGACTGTCTTATCAAAAGCCAAGACAACTCTTAATCTGCGAAACCATGATCTCAAAATCAGCACTCGTTCCGTCATCACCCTCTGAGGTCCTGATTAATTCTAGCAGGCAGCCAGGACAGTAACAAAAAGGCGATATAACACAAGTCAGGACGCTTCACAATCCAACAATGGCAACATGATACGCATTCCAAAACCCCGGATAGAATGACTAATTTTGCATCAGCACAGACAAAGTTTTCAATATTTAAAGCCGAGGCTTTTATGGTTGCAAATATCATCTAGTGGGCACCATTATAAATGTACTATTCTAGTTTAAAATTATGGTGCTTCGTCTTAACCACAAGTGGCAGGCTTATAGTATACAAAATAGCACCTAGGAATTTGTATGCACACATGGGTATCGTTTGAAAATCTGCTGAAGGGCAACCTTTTAAAAGTGAACGCTAGTTTGCCTTTCAAAAGTTATTTTATATCCTCCTTTAGATATTGCTTGATAAATTATTAAGACTGTTCAAGTAAATATGCGAAATAAATAAATATTTAACTCCCTTATACGGCTATATTAAAATATAGTTTTTGGTTATTTCAAACAATCGCCAAAATCGAAACCCCTATGAATCGTCAGGTAGTCCAGTTGTGATAGCGTGGTAGTATAATGGCGGTTTCCCTTATTTTGCCTTTGTAAAACAACGTTTGGCTGGTTACAATATTCTAACAAGAAGTTTACTTAATGGGTTAAGCAGTGATGAGGACTACCCTCGGAAAGGCAACGATTAAAACAAAAAAGAATGTTATGGACCGTAGTCTGATGCCCATGAATAAGCGCACAACCTGACTCACAGAACAAAGCGAAGAATTTGACTGTAAGGTCAGAAAGATGCGCATTTCATACTGCGGTGGGAAAATATACAACAGTGACCAAGCCAATAACAAACAGTGGCCGAAATCTACATGGTCGGCGTTAAGAACCTTAATTATTGACCTGGCGCACTGAGCGCAAAACTATCTACGCAGAATATATTTTTAGGCTTTTTTCCCTAACGAAAATATTTCCACTGTTGGGAGGTGACAAATCCCTGGGTCCACGCAATCTCTTATAGTAGTAATTATCGCCCACCATATTCGCACATTTGCGTGAGATGTCCAATACAGGACATTAGCGCAAGCGTCAAAAGCTTTCCAACAGAAACCCTCATAACCTGAAAAGCAGCTTTCCCGCCCACGTGTATGACGCACAAAATACAAATATTTACAACACTTAGGGGGCTAACAGAACATGTTTTATCGTAACCTACAGTTCCCGATTCCCGCAAATATTTCATGAAAAGCTGCCAATAGATCCTCTCTAAAATGATTAGTAGAACTTCTAAATATGTTCTAAAGCGTCTTCAGTGATCTTAGGGCAGCCATTGTGTAATTCAGAAAAAGCATAGGAACTGTATTAGGCAGGCGTTAAACAGATCAGGAGCTGACTGCTCGTTTTTTAGTCCAATGTCACTAATAACAGTGACATTGCACTGAAAGCAGATGACGTAAAGGAGTCTGAAATGACTGCTGGAATCATTGTCATCCTTGTATAAATAGGTGAAATGGTTCAGTGTTGGCCGATAACCTGCTCTGGAAACATTCTCATGAATATTTATATTAAAATACGTAAACAAGGTCAAGTGTTTCGAGGAATCACTAAATTGAGTTTTTTTCCACACCAAGGATACAGTTATCGGGAGCTTAGGTGCAGACGCCTAATTCCATAGGGAAGCTAGTTAAATATGCAAGCGAGCCCACAAACATGGCACAAAGGGTTATATATAGAAAAAATATGCAATCTAAGCAGTTGCATAAAAGATTTTAAGGAATATTTTGTTGAAAACCGTGGCATCACAACCTACACAACTTGTTATCTTGATAAATGTACTGAAAAGTGAAACATCTTGGGGAATTTTTAATGCTGCATTAAACGTTTATGCTCTACAAAATCCAATATCATGAGACCATAAAGGCCATACTTTTCTGACAATACTGTAAACGCCCTATCAAAAAATTTAAACATCTTTTCCCATTAGTGAAAAAACATGATTTTGACAGTAAAGAAATTATGTACATTTGCTCGCTCTCCATCTTAGAAGCCCCCCAACAATAAAATAGTTATTGCCGATACAAGCGAAAATGCGAGTTCCAGGAACTAGTTGATCAGAAGAATAAGCGATCGCTGGAACAATGGCTTTATTCGCCTGACGTTTCGGATTCTCTCTTGAATCCATCATCAAAGACAGTTGCAGAAAAGGGTGGCTAGTGTACAGGAAGTCGCAGTATTTATAGGATGCGGTCGACATGCTACCGCATCCTATCTGATACTAGATACCACATGAATTTTTGGAGAATAATTGATCCGACGATATTTATACAAGTCTTGCACTTGCTGCCGTCGGTTCGAAGCCAACCAATGTCACCATTTTCTTTCAAATCTAGTCGGACAAATTATGTAAATCTGTGAACAACGCCCACATGTTTCATTCCTTTTAGATTTGGCGTTTTGTTTGGTGTAGGAGTCGATTTACGATTTTTTCGTTAATGCGTTGCACAATTATGCAGTGTATGGCCTATAATATGAGCTGTGCCGAAATTTATGAAAGATTGCTTACCACTTTCAAACCGGCATAAACGGATGAAATGAAGTTAAGAAATAATACTGAACGATTTATAATAATTTAATCCAAAAGAACTAATAAAATGAGTATAAAGCAGTTTAGCTATGATTTTTTTTTAAAAAGCAAAACATTTTTCTAAAGATAAAGTTGTAATTTAAAACATTATGTTTCAAACTGAAAAAAGCCTATTTATGCAAAAAATGAATGAATAAATCAACAAGAATAGAAAAAACGCTTTAAAATGTCTGCCTGTGAAGTTTTCACTTCGTTAATGTCAAGCTCGACAGCAGGTCTTCAGCCCACAATTTGAATCTTGACCTTAACATGGTTTCTGCAGGAATAGGTTGATGTTTTTTTGAGTTATTTGGGATAGGGTTAAACGATATAAGTAAACGTTTGCTTAATTTTGCCAAAACGTTCGTCACAAGAAGAACAGGTGCCATAAAATTACACGTTGGTAAAACGGTCGATGGCCAAGGAATTCAAGTAGCACTGTCACAGCTAATCGTAAACACATCATGCTTGTATGCTACCAGAACTCTTGCTTCGTTACGTTCATTTTAGTGTTGGAGGATGAGGGGTTTCAACATTCATCCTTAAAATGGTGGGGAATACTTTATGATTTTCGCTGTTTTTAGTCGATTGGGCACAAATGCAGGTTTCGCTCTTTGTGTTATTCGTGGACTTCAAAAGAAGTTTTCTATTAAAAACTTTACCGACGTAGCAATTTAGTGGATATTACTTTTAATGCAGATAGTCATTTGAGTCACGTCTGAGAACTCATGTAAACATAAAACCTCACCACCAAGAAAAATGAACGCTCTCAACAAAATTTGGCAACGAATAAGGCCAAGATCTATTAACAACTTATTTCAATAAGTTACTTCGTTAAAAGGCATCTTGATTGGGTATTTAACTGAAGGAGGTCTGTATACTTTACCTTTCCGCGATGCTAAATTAAAGTAAAAATGAGGCTTCTGATCGACTTTCTTTCACAGTTGAAAGTGGATGGTAACTTTACGCATAAAATTGAGTGCGCTCGCTGTTTGCTTTACGTGAAAACATTTTGAAATAGATTTGCTTGTTTTTAAGCTCCGCCCTAAGACGGACAATGCACAACGAAGTGGCCGTATAAATACTAAAATATTGCGAAATCTGCTAATCCTCTACCCGCTCTGTTTTATAAATTACGCATTAGCGGGAACAAGGCTAGAAAGTATGATGCGTGCGCTTAGAAATTAGCAAATCTACTTGACGGAGAGGCATTTTGGGGTAAGTTATTGAGAATTTGCAAAGAACAGGAAAATAACGGATTGTTTAAACAAAGGATTGCCAGTAGGCGTTTTTACTAATATTAAGGGATATGAAGTCATGCATATTTACAAATGTGATGTTTAAGAGGTTTTGAAACATCGGGTTTTCATAAAGTAACCTACCTGCTTAAGCCCACCTCTACGTCATTGTTGAGAGAAAAAAAATCAATTTTCAAGTGCGGCAAGTTCCATTTAGTAAAACGTTCAAATTTAACTTACTCTTCCTTTTATAACAAAGAAAGCACGGGTGCACAGACGTAATCTAAGATTGCTGTTAACATAATAAACCATCTGAGTACAAGTTGACATAGATGTTCCCCTAAATTTACGGACATTTTGATTGATTAAACTGTTTATAAAAATATCGGACGTACAAAAACGGCATTCCTCTGGTAGACTAGACAAGTAAGCAAAGAGTGCAACACTTTAAATGTCCTAAATTAATCGTCTCAACTTCCGCTGTCACGTCTCGTGGGTTCGCTAACAAGCAGTAATATGGGTAGTCCACCGTTAAGTCCATTACGTTATATGTGAGACATAGAGAGATGTAATGGCAATATTGACAAAAAATGGAATTGACTGGCCATTTCTGGCTTATTAACAGTCACCAGTCAATCAAACCCAACCCCGAAGTGTGGCGCATCTGATGCTCGATCCCGCTACCTGGCCAACTTCTCTAAGCACTGAGCCACGTGCTGGTTGTCATGTCGAAAGCGATCGGGAATATACATTGGTAGGGGGCGCTGTCCGGCTGTTGGTTAGGCTCAAGAGAGAGAGTCCCTAAGGCGCAAGAGGACAAGTAAGTTAAGCAAAAAGGACCGGTGGGAGCCCCCTACCAAACGTAAATGGGTCTTTTCCACTTTCCACACCTGAGGTGAGCACTAGAATTGTTTCGTCCCTACAGTGAGTGACCGATCTCAGGAAATATCGGCAGCAATTCTGAAATGTGTTCTTGATTAGGAAGGATTACCTAAGCGGGGTTGTAATATTTATTAGCATGCGACATAATTCAATAGTATTTCGGTCTTGTGAGGGTGTCGGCCATTAAATGTAATTCTTTCCGACAGATACCACACTCAGTAAAGAATGACTACCTAAGTGGCATGCATTTTTCACATTTATTTTCGATGGTCTTATAAATTCAAATATATGATAGAAGACATGTATATAATATGCTTTTTTTACAGGTTTGGTAGAAAATCACATGTTCTTTACATTTCATATCCTAAGAAAGTGTATATTTGGGTTTTGGAGAAGTGTTATAATTCCCGAATAATTAGGAGACTGACTATCAGTTTCATTAGCCCTTAGTGATTTCAGTCTACAAGGTACATGTGTTCCGTGTAAGGAAAATAATGTAATCGTTTGTGCCTTTAAGAAGACACCATATAAAGTCTATAAAACTTTGTAGTGGATACGGAAAATGTTGTACGTTTCATGAGGAGCGGTAGTTAACGGACAGGTACAATGCTGTACGAATGGATATTGCACGGGTCTTAAAAATCTCATAACTAAACATTTTTTAAAACCTAGTTATACGTCTTTTCCAAGTATAAAATATAAAGACGATGTATGTCTTTATCAAACAAGTGAAAAAGCGCATTTTTGTTCGTTTTCTGTAAAAAATATTTGAATTTATAAGAGCACTGGAAATTAACGTGAAAGAAACATACTGTTTAATTAGTCATATATTAACGAGTACAGTTCCTGCGGGGAAGTGAAAATAAATGCATTCGAAAGCCAATATTCTGCCCATTTCCAAAATGTTATAAGATTATGCCACAAGAGAGTCAGTATTAGAAACCCACCTAAGTAATCCTTCCTAATCAGAAACGCATTTCAGAATTTCGACTGACATTTCTTGAGACCGGCCTCTCACTGTACATTTCAAAGGGCAATTTTGGGACTAAGACTGGTCACAATACATAGGGGCGATGGTAATTTGCTTCAAAATGAGATATGAAGTGCGGAATGGACATGAAAATAACACACAGGAGATAAACAAGGTAAAATAGAATAAGGTCCGCCTTTTAGGCAGTAAAAAAACCTCGTATTGTCTTTATATGATAACATCAAAAACTACTATAGCACGAAAGGAATAAAATAGCAGTTTTTTGACCACATTTAGTAGAGCCGCGCATTACAACCGTAGTTTAATGCCACAGCTACGCAGCTCCGCTTTCGAACTCAAACGACCAGCAATTACAAAATGCAATCAGCCTAATGCAAATGTTTAATTGTTGGTTGCTTGGTGCGCTATTAGTGGTACAACGCGGGGACTCTTTTTTGTGCATTGCATCCCTTGATCGCAAACGTACCCTGACATATAAGACGACAGAACCTGATTTCATGCAATCACTTTTTCCTCCTGTCAAGTGTGAGACGCATAACTTTATATTCAAGAATTGTTGCCGAAAAGGTCATTAGGAGCTGTGATGGTCATTTTCAATTTATTTGTTGTCAAAAAAGGCAACACGCAAAGTACATATATTTTGTTCTAGACTCAGTTGTTCAGCAGGTTAAGAAGCCAGCTTGTGGATGCCAGCCATCACTTTTCTTTAGTGACTAGCTGGTCTCTTCTGTGCTTTTTTAGGTACACCAGCCCTAGTTTGTGGTCAAAATAAACGACACCAAAAACTTCATTTCCCTTAATTCTGAGAGATTTAATCAATATGCGTTTGCATATGGCGGCCCAACACGACAGCTCAAGAACAATTTAAAAAATCTGTATTCATTACTACAAGCAAGACCTATTGGTGAATTGGCCCGTCTGAATTACGTTTTTTATTAATACTTCCGTATAAAAACTTACGAGACGCTGTTTATATTCTTACCCACAAAACTTTAATTATCCGTCGAAAAATAAATGCCCACACATGGCGAGAATATATGCGCCTCGTAAAATTCAAATAACCTTGTCTCAGAAAAGTGTTCGATAGGTTGTGTATGGTAAAGGGTATTACAGATAAAATGAATCTCGCTGCACACTTCGGAAGTAAACATGCAACATATTCAGATTCGGAAACACGGAATTAAAGTTCGATCTCAAGCTAAAGACTAATCACGTTGTAGTCATATACGGAAAGGGTTGAAATTGCGGTGATGTCGAGTACTTACAGACAATGCACGCCTATCGCGAAAACAAAAGTCAAAATAGTTAAAACGTTTAATACAGTCAGTCAGCCCTTCCAAGAGGATTTTATCATCAAATCTCGATCAGGCGTGGAAAAAATAACACTGCGATACGGCCACTTTTATTTTTCAGTAAAGACTTAAAAAACCTAGCTCAGACGGACTTGTCTAGATTAAAAATTCGAACATTTTTAGGAAAAGTTGCCTTTTTGTCCGAGTTCATGGCTAATCCCAAATAATCCGCTGATAAACATTTGGCCTTAGTTAAGGTAGAAGTGTGGATACTGCCAGGACCCCTTTCCTTAAAACTTTAACAGTATACGCAGTCCATTACTTTTAGTAAACTACGTTTTAGAATTAACGCGTAAGTCATGTAAAAACTGTAGTAAAAGGTCTCTCGTATTTAGGGCCTTGAATGACACGCCCTCGAATAAAGCTTGCAATTGATAAGGGTCAACAGGAATTATTGCAACATTTCTTACGTCGTTAGTCCAGACCCTTAAACATTGTTCTAAATGGCAATCACTACCTCTGGGATTTTGAATAGATGCTGGGAACCAAATTAAGAAACAAGGTGCTGTGGCTGATTTCTAATGATCAGGGTCCGTGAAATTGACTGACAGTTGCATTTCTTACAGTAAGATCGTATTATGTTAATTTCGGTCAACTAAAAATCATTCAAAAAAGAGACTAAAAGCTCTTGGTTGTGCTAATAAAAGATTGTTTCTGCGTTAAGTTTAATGCATAATACTAGCCTTTACTGGACAAATTAAAACAAACACCTCACATGAAAACGATATGTTAGTGTATGCCTATTCTAATTACTCGATTATTTGTAAGAATTTCAGCTTGAGTATTGGGAGACATTTAAAACCCGTTCACTTCTCTGATACAAACCTACTTAAAATCAACCTTTAAATCATACTGGGTCGCCTTTTATTCGCCTGTTTGATGTAATACAGAGAATGCCTTCTGTTACGAATTTCTGTTCAACATTATGAAAGACTCTGGAGTATATATCTTTATATCGGCGAAGGCACAGCCAGTGATACCACGACCTCATTGTAGGAAGTGTCGTGAATGACATTCGTATTTTCACTCAGTGTTTCAAGTTTTCGGATTAGAACCCGCAAGCTCGCACTCTCTTGACTGTGTTTAAGAATACGTAGTCTGACAGGAAAACTCTTGACCGATTTTATACGCTGGCAAAATAAATGAGTCTTCATATTATGCCCCACTCCTTTTGTCCTACATATATTTCATACTGCGTTCTGAAATCAGGTCATATGCCAAAAGTCTCCAGTTTTGCTCTGTTCAAGCTAGGACAAAATCTCGTATCCACCTGAGGCGTGGTGTGAAAAATAGTATAAGTGGGCTTAAGTTAAGGGAGTTATTCTAAAAGTCTTGTTTTTACATTTGCACAGATGAGCTTTGGCTGTTTTTTATGTATTCAGTGACGGTTCAGGACGAACTGGGACATTCATCTGTATTAACGAGTTATTGGACATCATCAGACAGGACGTTATCGGGGCCTCGGTGCCGGTGGCTCAATTTGCCTTGCGTGTGGCCTCAGCCAGGCCACAGATGATTTCCTGTGTAGAACAGTACGCCTTCATCTATGCTGTCATCTCAGAATGGGTAAGGTCGGGGGGCACGACGACGGTGCCAGTGGCAATGCTGCCACTTGCAATGGAGGAACTCAAAAAACCACCAAAATCCGGATATGGAATTGGCCATTGTTCTAGCAAGTACGAAGCCGAATTTGCGGTAAGTATTGATTAAGGGCTAGATTAAAAACAATCAGTTCAAATGTAACTTTGCTGTACAAATAGGCAACTAAATAACATCAGTCAGTATTCCAGTACCGACATTGTTGTTTACATACTCCTGCTGTCAATAAGGTTTCCTGCACATAAGCTTTTGCCACTGATTGTGATATAATGGGAAACAAAAACGCGTGGTATGTGAATGCTCATCTCACGCAGGCAGTCTTTACAGAGTAAATAATTTCGATCTATGCCAAACTAAAATAATACCATGGTGGCATGTTAATATTAATTGCGTTATTTTGCAAAAGTACATAATCGGACGCATAATGTCCTATTAAAATAGTTATGGAAACCGTTTTAGTTGTGCACGATCTTTTAGAAACATCACGATAAAATATGCTCCAAATTTCACATCCGAATTTATCACAGAGGTGATTTTGATGGTGAGTTATGCTGCAGTACGGCGCAGTGTTGCCAACATCTGACATCCCCCATGTGGTTAGTTAACATTTGGAACTAAAATCTAAAAAATGTTAGAACAAGGAAAAGATAACTAAAAATCAAAATACTTCAGTACGAAAAATTTGCGGCCTAAACAAAACCTAGTCTACATACCATGATTAGACTACAAATATTAGACGACGTTGACAGTTTATGAAACGGATATAAATATTTTAATTGCAGCGGACGCCAAAGTCGAAGAACACCGATCAACGTTCCGAAATTTGCCTTAGACTGAAAAAGGCCACTTTGACGAATTTTCAGTATTGGGCCATGTGCGCCAAAATCTCAAGTTCTTCGCGAAACGCTGAGGTTCTAAATGAATACCTCTGCAGATATTTTGCAAAATGACTCCATGCAAACGACTGCTTAAATAACACGTATTTTAGACCAATTTTTGGATGACTGTGCGAAGACCTCCCGATTTATTAAACAATTGGCCCGAACTTTGCCTTTATATTCATTCTGCAAGAATTTGCCTATTCTCTATTTTCTCAATTGGAGAAAGCTGTCGAGCACGGGAACATTTTGTTTGTTTTCCTGAACTTTCGAACTCGTACAGGAGTTCATCTTCAGGGATAGTAGCAGCAGCAGAACAAGCAACAGCAATAGGGCATTTATGCCGAACGCAATGAAAGCATCTACACTGCGTTCTTAATCCGGGATTTCAGTGTACCCAGTAACGCACAAGATAGAGGTGTTTGAACTCCCGGAAAATGTATGAATAAGCAGAAGCAGAGCGCTTTCCGTGAATTGAATTAACTTTTGTCAGTAGTACGTTTTTACTTTTAGGGTGCTTAGGGAATCTGTTCTATTCATATGACGGGTTGGCCTGTTTCTATACTGGAAACCATAGTTAAGTACTTTATTAACTAGAAATGCACTTAAACGCAAAACGTTCAATTTATCTTTCGGCAGTTATAATGAATGTTAAAGACTTTTTTCCTGGGAAGCCGCTTAACCGACACCTAAGTCCTCACTTTACCTTGTCCCTAAAAAGAGGAGTTGGCATTTGGAATTGTAGAGCAAACATATATCATTGGTGATCGATATGTAAATGCTGTTAAGAAAAAAGCACGATTCAGGACAGAAACTGGTACTAAATGGTTTAGCAGGGTGGACTATTTTTGACCTAATCGCTGTTCTCTATGAGTTGCTGATTGCAGACCGGAGTTCCAAGGCGAAACGGGAAGACCGTATCTCGTTTAAACGCAGGGCTAGATAGTTAAATGCAACATCTCATGTGAATTTTAAACTCATTTATTCTACGCTAGGTATATGCGCTGAAACCAAAGAGTATAATTAAGTCTCAGTTGGGATGGTTTAACTAGCGTGTTGACCTAATGTTCGTCCAGATTTATATAAACAAACTTTGCATGCTGTTAAAGTGTGCAGTAGCATTTGTCAATCATAAACATAGAAACGTCTCAGTACATGCAGTCCGGACGCTTTTATAGATTGCAAGCCCTGCTGAAATGCGTATGCTCGAAATGTATGACCAACAGATGTGTTATGAGGAGGGAAAAACGTTAAAGGAGACAGTAATTTAAAATACTATTGTATGATTTGACGCCGAATTACACATATGCGGGGACTCTGTTTATCAGTGCGTCCCTCAACGTGTCTCATGTACTTTCTGGAATGTACTTAAGATTTGGAATCCCAGTGTGCAAATAATGATGTATTAGTCTTTGTTATTTACTTTTATTGTATCGTCATGTTGTCACATATTATAAAACACAAACACATCTTAAAACGTTTTAATGAAAATGGAAGTAACTGGCAGTATAAGTTTGCTAAATAGATGTACTTTTTTAAAAGTTCGTTAACGCAAACTTAGTGCACTACGAGCTCATCCTTTTGTCTAGAGAAGGTATTTCCCTAAGCTGTGGGTGTTTTATTAGTCTGTCTGTTAATTCTTAGTGAATTTAGCCAGGCCTTATGCGCCGACACGTTCTCTGATGATACAGGCGTCTAGTTCTGACCCCCATGTTCATATTATTTTATCTGCTCTAGCTAACCTGCCGCATGTACCTGTTATTCAACGGTATGAACTGATGCTTAGAATGCAAGCGTTAATAATTGTTTTCAATTGGATTTAGGATGATGTTCGTAAACCAAGTACACGTTGTCCGTGAAGATAAAAAAACTGCCTTTTCCGCAGTATACGTCATTGTTTGATTATCTAAAGTTATCTTTGCAGTCTACGCCCTCTTATTTTGGATGGCGTCTTACCATCCAGTACCCCAGGAATAATCTGAAAAATGACTGCTAATGGGATACATCTTTAAGGAACTTTCTAATTCTCTGTGCATTATTTAACCTGCTTTGTTATCAATCTCAAATAATTTTCTCAACTTTTCATTTTGCAAACCATAGTGTGTTAACGGTTGTGTTTAGAAATTTACAGTAAATTACTTTTTACACGGTTGTTATAAAAAACTAAACAATGAACCGCGAGGCATTCTAGCAAACCAAACCCACCTCCGTTCTGCTTTAAAATAAAACGTATTGTTTTTGTCCACCGTATGCTTGCCGTGTTTAGTACCCTCAATATCGGTCCAAAATGACGCATTTAAGCTCATATAAACTATCCATGATAGTCTTATCACGTCACACGGTGCAATTTTGGGGTAATATTTATGTCGAACCCAAAACTGCGAGGGGCGGCACAGATTTTACTATGGTTGTACGAACATACCGCACAAACGTGCGTATATCGAAAGCAGGATCTCATACAGGCTGTAAAATCACGCAACATAATATTCTGCATGGAATGTAATGTAGTCCAAGACAACTCGCCTCAATCGTAATGACTTCCGTTCACATACAGAACCTTCCTTATACGTTAACCAACATAGTGCTGTTTGGGACTTGTCTAATGATATAAGTCAGATCTGTTTGCCGAACGTTTTAAACAGCAATGCAAATAAACATACCGGGCAAAGAAGGTTAAAAAGAACTCAGCAGCCACGGGACGTACAAGGCAAGAACTACAGCAAGAACCGTTTAATTAAAAAGCATCTTCGAAATGTATCAAGGTTTTGGATATTTTCCCGTAACCGAACGACGTGTCTGTTCCCACGTAAATAAGGAAATAAGGATCGTTTGCGTAGTGCACATGCGGAGACAGGCTGAGTAATGATTTAAGCACGTTGATCTTTATCAACCAGCTGAAACATACAGTGGAAGCACTTGCAAATGTAGCTTTCCTGAAGGAAAATGCAAGAAATAGAAAACTGTCATGTCCAATAAACGTTTTCGGGGAATCTGAAATCGTCTGTTCTAAATACTGTCCGAAGCCGGTTGATTTGCCCTATCATTATACTTAAAAATAACAACCTGCGACATTTTTTAAAAATATGCTGTTAGGGGAAGACGGAATCAGGCGAAAGACAAAAAGTGCATCATTTTCAAATAAACAATGTACTATTGGTAGACGTTTTCGATTTTGCTTTATCTGTAAATGTAGGTAATGGTCCTTTTAACACGTTAGATCCTAGAAATATGCAAAAAAGACCCTCGTACATGCACATTTTTGGTTTTACGATGCCAAAAATATAATGATTTTAGAATAACCACCACGTAGTATTCGGGAGCAGAAAAGGCCTAGACGTCTATAGTAAACAATTCGTGGAAATATATAGATAAGCGCAATGTCCAAGCATGTGCCATTGCATTTGCACCCCTAACATTCAGATGTTGGTGACTTTGGAGATTTATAGGGAAACCTTTTTATACAACGTTTTATATATAGTAGGTGGGCTAACTCATGAACCATCAAATGAAATTGCGAAATGCGTTTACGTTTCGAAAAGATTAATTACGTAGGGTTGTAAAACTAGTCAGCCTGCAACATAATTCTATTATTTGTCAGTTACCATAGGATGCGGGCTTTCGGATGAACTTCCTTTCCGCTGCATGTAAAAACTACACCCAGTAAAAAAAGACTATTTATGCAGCATGCATTTTTCTCATAAATTTTCAATGCCCTTAAAACTTCACTTATATTTCATAAAAGCGTGCACAAAAATGTTTCTTCTTTTGCTTCTTTGGCACAAAATTACGTCGAAGGAAGGGTATAATTCGGTTTGCAAAAACCTTTCTAATTACCGAATAATTTTGAACTTGCTCTGCCGTAAAGCTTGGATTCGGGATTTCGAAACTATAAGTCGTATATTTTCCGCGTGCGGAAAACCACACATTTCTCTACAGTAGGAAGGGGAGACTATAGAGGGTTCATAAAATTCAACAGTAAGTTTTATTCACAATGTTAACTTTATAAGCCACGTTGGTAAATACAGAGACATGACGATTTCTGAACAGTCATTTCACGGTATTTAAACTCTTACAATTAGGAACTTCTTAAAACCTAATTTTGTCCCTCCTTTGAATATAAAATAAGGGAAGACGTAATTTTCTACCGAATGAGCAATAAAATGAATATTTGTATGCATGTTTTCCACGAAATATAATTGGACTTTAGGGCCCCTGAAAATCAATGAGACAATGTCATGGTACTTATGTAGTCGTTTTTTACAAAGCGTAGTTTCTGCATGCAAACGAAAGGAAGTTTACTGAAAAGCCGGCATTTTGAGATAAATGAAATATTATAGAATGATGTTTCAGGCTGACTAGTTTTACAACCCTACTTAACTAATCTTTTCGAAACGAGAACGCGTTCCGGAATTTCGGATGACATTTCACCGTAAGCCACCTATTTTAATTTGCAATTGATATACAAAAGGCCATTATTTATCTCTTCTAGATTGGTAATGTCGGTTTGTTTAAAATTCATCTCAGCCCTTTTCAATGCGCCATATTTCTGCCTTTTGAAAATGATAGTTGATTTAGGGTTGTTTTAATATACAGTGAGTGACCGATCTCATTAACTGTTGACTGAAATTCCGAAATGCATTTTTGATTGAAGAGGATTACTAAGGTGTATTTGTAATATTGATTATCTTGCGGTATAATCCTATAATATTTCGAACTTGGCAAAATTTCGGTTTTTGAATACACAGTTTTTCAATCTTCTGTAGAAACCGTACAGAGCAAAAAATGACTACGTTATTGGCGTGCACTTTTCACAATGATCTTCGATTGTCTTGCAAATTCATATATATATTTTATAGAAACTAAAGATAAAACTTTGCGTTTTTTTAGTTGTTTGGTATAGAATTACGTCATCCTTACATTTTATACGCAAAGAAGAAGTACAATAAGGTTTTAAAAAAGTTTTCTAATTCCCGAATAATTTAGAACCTGATCAGTCGTTGCATTAGCGCTTAGTAATTTTAGTCTAGAAGGCGCATGCGTTCCGCGCAAAGAAAATAGCATATTTTTCCATGCCCTTGAAAACGCATAAAGTCCAGAAAATTTAAATGGATGCGGAGTATGTTGTATATTTCACGAGGAGCAGTGTTAAATATGCAGGTAATATGCTATATGAATAGACATTGCGCAGTCTTAAAAACGTTATGATTAGAAACTTTTTCAAAGCCTCACTGTACTTCTTTTTCGAACGTAAAATATGAAGTTGACGTGATTGTCTATCAAACGACCCAAAGAAACCATACTTTTGTTAGTGGTTTCTTCAAAATATATTTGAATTTGCAAGACCATCAAAAATCAGTATGAATAATGCATGCCACTTAAGTAGTCATTTGTTATCTTGTACGGTTTCTACAGAAGACTTGGAAGCTGTGTATTCAAAGGCCGACATCCTGCCGAGTATGAAATACTACAGGATAATGCCGCACAGTATTCATTAGTAAAACCGCGCCTAAGTAATCCTTCCTAACCAAAAGTGCATTTCTGAATGTCAGCGAACATTTCACGAGATCGATCACTCAATTTAATTCTGCTTTCTATGATAAATTGAAAGTTTTAATGGTACGTACTACTAAAGGTGCTTATGGACACTGTGCATAAGTTGTCCACGATGAAAATGCTTTTGTTCGGTGACAAATAATAGCAATATTTGCCTTTTCAGGCATTCTACCGCAGATATGGTTCTACTCCAGTGGTTATCCTAAAAACTGTTCTTTTTATGAAATGTTTTAAGCTCTATATTTTGCTTGAGGGTAGAAGCGGACGCTTAACTTTTATAAGTAGAATGTGTTAACGTAGGACCAAACTTTGAACGGCATCCGAATGTCTGATCAACAACTGAATCTGTCAGGAGGGATTGAACTGCGGAAATACCCTACAGTAATTGGAAAGGGAGCTAGCAGATGAGATGACATGAATTCACATGAGATGTAAACGGAACGAAAGCTGTTACAAAAAATAGTATATTTCGCGCATAGGCGACCTGTTGGAAAAATGAAAAAATGTGCGAACTCTGAAGGTATTAAACGTTACAAAGCGCATTCAAAAACCTCCTATCCTCTGATGCGTTCCTGACGAGAGATTGACCAGTAAGGAATAGGCAGTTTACAAACATCTGTTGGACAACCGTCCCTTTCTATGTACTGCAACTTAAAAGAGATATACGCTCTCAGACAAATCAGATATAGGCTATTGCAACTCTCATTTAATCTTTTGAAAGCAAAATATATTCCCAAAAACAGTCTACGAAACATATCAACTAATGTTCATTAGGTATTTTTAAAGGCCATGAGCAAACGAGAATCAATCTTATATGGGAATTTGCGCTGTAAATTCAGCTACATGCCAATTTGGGAAAAGCGTTTGATGGTTTTCGTAGGAGAGTATGCACAGGTGTTATTATCTACAACTGTGCGCCTATTTTCAACTTGTACTCAATGCTGAGGAAAATTTCATAGAATGTTATTTGCGTTTCCTTTTCGGTCCTTTTGTCGAAACGGAAGGTTGCTCTAGGACGTTAATTGCGTCATTTTTGTACGACAGAAGCCGATGATGCGGTGGTTTTCCGCCGCTCGTTTTTTCTCTTTTACTTCCAACCGACAATTGTCTCTGCATGCGATGAGTAGATTTCCTTTATGATTTGGTCGATGTAAATGCGTTGCTCTTAAATTTTTTCTAAACGCGCGTACGGCTGTTATTTTTATCGCCACAATATGGAGTTTAAACTGGCAGCCGATTCTCCTAAGGACAGAAAAACCATTTTAACACAAAATCCCTCATCAATATCTTTGGCATTTTTTACCCTAATCAAAAGGAAACCCAATAACTTTTGGACTACTTAGATAGATGTCAACTGTAAAACTGTATTTAGGAGTATATCGTCAGGCATATACCGAAATTAAATTCTTAAGTTATAATAAGCCGCGCGGATCTGTTAAGTTCGTATACTTCTTGGATCATCTTTCTTCTTCCTCACAATCATTTTAAAAATGCATTGGTGATGCGAATGCTCAGATTAATTCAGATAACAGAAAATGAACTCAATTGGAGTGCAGATCTGTTTGAAAACTACCAGTGCAGATACGTACTCCTGACTTTCATTTTCATATGGTTGTAACGCGATCTTTTGCATGAACTGTGTATTAAAATTTAGAAAAATCGACGCAAGTCAGAGAGTGAAATGTATATTATATGAAAATAATTGTCCAAGTAGTAGTAGTTAACGGTTTGTATGGAGCAAAAGTATTACTATCGACGGTTGGTTTTACCCTTACCTTCCTGTAGCGCTTATCACAAAATCAATGATTAATAAGTTTTTTCCCCGATTTATGAGAAAACATAACTCCTAGCAAATACGTTTTAATGCAAGTCACACTGTGTTACGAATATGTACATCAGTTCAAAGACTCTGACGCCTATTATACTGTCGTTTTTGTTTCAAACGAAAACTTACCCGTAATGTCCTTGGAGATCGAAACAGCTTTGCCCTTCCCAAGATTTCTCTACCAATGGTTTCAATTTCCTTCCGCAAGAGATGGTTAAATTCTCACCAAAATCAAGTACAACTACGTTAAAACTCGCGTTAATACTAAGAAAACGGCCAGCTAACTGACTGTGAATGTGTTACGCGATCTGCTTAGCTGACATAAATATGAAACAAACGGCTTTTTCAAGCATTATTCAAAAGATTGCTGCTTTATTTTACACATCGATGGTGTTCTCTAGCGTCTTTAGATGTGAAGGATGCTTTTGCGTTATTCCCCATTTATGTCTAAATTTTGCGCATTTTGGCGTGAATAATACCATTTTACTCGTATAACTATTCATAAAAAATAATTTTTTACTAACAGCTCCTTAATCGAATGGTCAAACCTCTGACAGTGGGTGAATGCGCAGGGGGCCATCGTGTAGAAAATCGTAGGAAGAGTCGAAACGTTTTAATACAACCACGTGAGTAAAGTTGATTCTTAATATCAAGCACGCGTTCTATTTCAAAGCATGCAGATTTTTTTCCTTTCAAGCACGACTACGTTCTCATGCAAAACGCATGTCTTTGTAACAACTCAGTTAGTTTTATTTTAACAGGAATATTTTCTACTTCGAATCATACCAAAGTCAGCTTGATAAAAAAGGACGTCAAAAAACCAAGCATTCTAACATTTATAAAATATATTACTGCCTCTAAGAAAAAATGTGAAATAAGGAACATCATTTGCATAAAACCAGGCAATCAGGACACTGACTTATCTACGCTGAATTTATAAACCCTAATCAGTGCTATCCGAACTGATAGAACCATTTTAAGTATTCAAACATTTTGGGAATTTTACCAAACAAAACATCAATATTTTAATAACGAATAAAATAAAACCCTCAGGTGACTAAAACAGCCCAATGCGTAGTCTGTTCGACACTGTCGGAAAAAGCCATCATACTTTCTTAATTAACTTACTGTAACACGCTTTCGATAATACAACTAAGAATAGATTAACTGTGGTCGAAATAGCCTCTATAAATTGTTCCAAGTGTCAAACAACAGACATATTTCAAATTTTAGCTGAACGCGCAAGACCTTATCTCGTTACACAAGAAGGCGGAGATGGTTCAGACTATATCAATGCCGTCTACGTTGACGTAAGTAATTATCTACAAAAATTGCACTTTTTAAGCTTCAATTTTTTTCTATCGTAACCGAAGATGTATGTATGTGTGCACGTCTTTCAAAAACATGCATACGACAGTTACTAAAAACTGTAAACACTGAATTACGCACTGTTTTGAACGAAAGGAGGAAAAAACTGTCAAAGTTGTTGTGCATATCCAATAAATACAAATCAAAACTAAGGTGGCCTGCTCTGAGTTAAATCCTTTGCATTTAGATGAACAGTTTTTAGCCGATTGTATGGGAAGCATATCAAGGATCAAAAAATGCCTTAGCACCTTACACTGTTTCAATCGGCAGTGCAGTCTATTTGTTTGGAGTGATCGTTTATGAATTAAATCTACAGAAACTTACTTCATGATTGTTTTTACCTAGGAAACTGTATTTTTTCCATTAACCTGAAAAAAGTGCACTTTGACTTCAATTTTGCAAATTTTCAATACGCGAAATTTTTCACTCGAAATGTCAATAAGTACGACAACATTTCATAGGAGTGGCAAATTCTCGGTTAAACTTGCACTAAATGACTACATATTATTTCGGATCGTACTTGCACTGATGGATGAAGCCTAGTGGTCTAAAATCTAGCCTGTTACAATAAGGACGGTGGCATGGGATTACGCCCTCTGACGACCAGTTTTCAAACAAATCTAGGTAAGAATTGTCGTCAAAGAACGCAGTTACAATAGTTTGCAATTTTTTCCGGGATTTGATCTCTAATTTCTGTATAAAGCACAATTCGGCAAAAATTGTTTAATCGTTTTTGTTTCCTTAGCTTTAAGAAACTTGCAGGAATTCCAAGCGCAATAAGTAGGAGACGTACATATTCTTCAGAAATAAACTGGGCCAACTATATTTTGGAAATGATTTGCTAAATTTAATGGAAATGACAACTGTTTGGTGATTCAGGAGTAACTACAGACTGTTGTGTATTTGTATGCAACAGAATTCGACGTGCGAGTGATAAATTATCGGCTCCAGTTCAGGAATTGCTTAGAGTCTAAATGGCTACAACGACTGAAAGGCAATTGTTAATTTCAGGGAAAAGATGAGCATTTCTTCAATAATTCACTTACTTATTTTACAATCATCACGTCGCTTTTCACAGATCACATCTTCTTAGTTGATTGAAAATATCGTAGCGATAATGCAAGTGCTTTGTCTTATTCATTTTTTTGAGAGCATAATCACTAAGACATGTGCTTTTATTCGTGTCATCACAAAAATAAACTGTGTGGCCTTTTAGAAAGCACGTAGTTTAATCCAAGTAAATCACTGCATAGTGCAACTATTTGGAGGTTTTTAACAGTCCGAAATAGTCAGTCGTTAAGCAAAAAAGGCATAAAACATCTAATCGGATGAGCAGTGTGTGAGAGTCTAAATTGGATACCTATCAGAAACTATAGAGCACGTAGATCGCCTGTAGTTTTGACCGTCAAATTTAGTTATGACTGTAGTCACATTTCAGTATCTAAGAAGTTAATAAGGTACCTGCATTAAAAAAAAACAAAGAGGATCTGCTAAGTTTTAGGCAAAAGGCATAGGTTTATGCTTTTTGTTATCTCCACTTTTTGTCCCAGATAGGTCTAGTAACCACTAGCAACCTGAGTACGCCTTTCAAATGTAAACAAAAGTCGACCGGCGTTTTCAGCTTTTTGATTCAGTCTGAACGTAAGTGATAAACGAATATGAGACGGAAATAAGAAACCTTGTCTTTTTTAATTCAAGTGTTCAATTAGCGGGATAAATTAACAAAATTCCTTTCTTTACAAACAGAACTTACTGACAAATTGTACGAAAAGAGCAAAAAGCAAACATCGCACAAAATATGCCACTATTACCCACAAATTGTTAAAAGTAAACTATAAATTTCCGACGTTTTAGGGATACCGAATGACCAATCAATATATTGTCACTCAGTGGCCGCTAAGGACAACTGTTTCTGACTTCTGGTGCCTTGTGGTCGACTTCCATATATCTGTCATCGTTCTTCTGAATCCTTTCCGTTTTGGCGACGTGAGTCTCCTCTCCTACTTTCAGTCCTTTTCTGTTTCATATCCTTTTGCGAGGCTAATTAAGTTGCAGTTAAAAAGCCATGCGACTGCTTTACGTAATTTAAGACGGGTTTTTCAAAACATGATGTCCTTTGTTGTATACCTAAAATCTAAATTTGTCCGACCACTAGAACGCCCGAAATTCATTCGGTTGTCGAGTAAACATCTCTTTTTTCAGAGGCATAAAGAATCTAAAAACTACGCGCAGATAAAAAGGCGATCAGGAGCAGATTGTTGATTTTGACTTTCTGGTGTAACTTTACCACGGATGTGATCTATGATGCAGCTTAACTTCCCGCACCAATTGGGTTATTTCCTATGTCGAAAATTGGGAATAATAACGGCTGTCCACAGTAAGGCGATGAAGTTCGCTTTTTGTCTTGTAAGAACTGTATGTCTATGAAAGTACGTGCCGGATATACCTGGTAGAATTGATACGAGTAGACATTCGGTCGAAACGCTGAGTGGTTATTAGCTCTGGTTACTTAAGTCTTTTACCCTTAATCGCATTTTTATAGCAGCGAAGACACTTTAATTCAGGCGTCATTTTTTGTTTTAATTTCAACCGGGGCGTGCTTAATTGCAATTCTATGCTCATCTCTGTGCTATACACATTTCATTATCATAGAAAACATCATTTTTTCTAAGAAACTAAAGACAGGTTTTGTCTCTGTAATTTCCTATCAGACTATACTTACTCATTTTTCAAAACAGAGGCATATTAGCTTGTTAACCTAAAATAACTCAAAAAACCCGAAATTAGGACAGAAGACTATGTGAAAGCCTGACCAAAAATCAAATGCTACTGAATCTGCCTCTAACTGGAACCAGAGGTGGCTGTTTGCGTTTTTTACCTTAACAATCGGGTAAAAATGTTGAAATAATTTCTCACGTCACGCTTGCGTCGAGCCTTGGCAGGAGGTCTGGTTTTCAAGTTCAGAAGACCATTTAAAGAGCCCACATACATCTTTCGGAATTTTTCATCAGATTAGAGTAATTACTTAATCATTTTTGACCGGAGTTGATGATTAAGCAAAGAGCAAAAGGGACATGCAAAAGTTAGTGAAATAAGCTAGAGCAGAAATTGAAATTCAGGCAAAATTTGGTTGTGTTAATCTATTAAAACAAATGTCTATATGCAGCAGCTGCTCCACCTGATATGATATTCAGTCAAACACTCGGTATTTGCTTTTGATTAGATTGAAATGTTGAGGTTGCGTTGAAATAATAATCATCATGCAGTATAATCCCGGGATAACTGAACCGTGGTAAAAAGCCAGTTTGTGAATGCGCCTTTCTCCGGTCTTTCATAAACACCACGCTCGGCAAAAAACATTGCTGAACTATTACGGACTTTTTCCACCGATTTTGGTCTTCCTAATAAGCCCAAATGAAGCTTACAGAAGGTTTTCATTCAAATATCATTTCCTATACTCACTAAGTAGAAAATTACGTATGCTTTAGTTTTTTATACTCCAAAAGGGTTTTTGTTAGTCTAAAAACGCGTTTACCCCTAAAATATAGCCGAACCACAAAAGAAACTACGTTTGCGTTTGGGGTTCTAAAAGTACGGGCTGCATATTTTTTGTGTGGGCAAAATTAGGTCACTAAGGAGATATCATGTAAGGCTCATAATACATTCTAGTGGATGTGAACATGTTGTGCACTTCATAAGCAACATTAGAAAACAGACAGATATGATGCTGCATAAACAAACATTTTACGGTTTAAAGAATAAAAGGATAATAAACATTTCCAAGACCAGAAAGTGTCCTTTTCTCATATTAGAAAGGTCTGTAGAAGACTCAATTTTCTATCAAGGGAACACAAAACATTTTTTCCAAATGCCTATTATAGGGCGTATTTTAATTTATAAAAACGTCGGAAATCCGTAGCAAACTTTTATATTACATAGGCAATAGTACGGAGTTTGTAGGTAGACTAAAAGAGGCGCACTCAAAAATGCACATACTGAAATAATTTAAATATTCTTGGTTTTTTTGCGCGGCATTTAAAATTAAAATACCACTTGGACAATCCGTTCTAATTCTTTTGGACTTTCGGAGCACATATAATAAGATGGACTTTCTCAGCTGCATGGGAGCCGCCTGAGAACTATTTCAAAAAATAGTTGCAGTAGAGTTTGTGCAAAGTTGTCGGAAGCCCATTGAATTCCTTCGCACATTCCGACTGCCGCTACTTTGGCAGTTTCTAATGACCGCGGTCAAAGGAACTTCCGGTACACTGTCGCCTCTCGATAGACTAGCGTTTTTCTTGGTTTCCTCAGCTTAACTAGTTGCGAGAAAATGGGGCTGTCTGTGGATCTTGTTTCACTCTGCGAAGCCAGGTTAGCCGATGTTCCCTTGCACTTTTGCACGGCAAGTGACCATCGCGGCCTGTCCTACATCCAAGCGTGAATGAGTCAATTCGCATAGATGTGTTCTGGGAAAACAGATGATGCTAATAATGTTTGTACTTTAAGGGGGAAATCTTGACAAATTGCCTAGTTTGACGCCTTTTTATTAATTAGCCAAAAAGTTGCATTAAAATGCTAATGTGCTGGGAATAAGTTTACATCTCTCCTAATTCAAGTTCATTTTTTTAAAATAGTTTAATGATGTTCTTTTTGGAATTTATCGGTATGAAGGGTCATTTTACGCCGAAAATTTTAAACACTGCCTCGCGCAAGTTTGGTGATGCCAGACGGACACGATTCTCTAGTTTCACTAAACAAACAATGAAACAGCTGGTAATTTTTATCCAACAGGGCAAAACTATTAATTTTGACCTATTTTCGACAGACACTCCGGATCTAATGTTGTTTAAGTATTTTGGAAGATTAAGTCCTGGGTTCACTTTTCTTTATCATCAGTTGACAAGATGAGCTTATAACTTCAAAAAAATAATTTGCTGAGGCAAACTCTGGCAATTGGTAGTTTGACAAGCTCAAAGTCGTTGGTGTGAAATGACTTGAAACATCTTGCGCGAGTTTCCGTTGGAGGACAGAACTTGCACGCTGAGCGAATACACCAATGTTTCCTTCTTCTAGGCCCGTTAAAAGACAGCAGTTTTTGTCTTTGGCTTGCTCTTGTAAATTTCATTTATCGGAAACGGTTTTATTTTTAAAAAATTGAGCTTTAGAGGAATGGAATAAAAACAATAGGGCAAATGCTTTTTAAAGTTGATTTCTTTGTCGGCCAAAAATACATAATGAGGTTCTACTTGCGACTGTGACACGTTTTCTTAGTGTGAAGCCCAACCACTCAACACCATCTTGCGAATACGTCTGTCGGAATCAAAAACTAGTTTAGAAGTGCACACCAGGAGACTAGACAGAAGCCTCAGTTCAACACAACAACAGGCCTTTTTACCGATACGCTTTTAATGAAAAAATTTGTGAGAATCGCCCTCAGTGCTGATTAATTGTGCTTACATTCCCTCTGGAAAGGGCACCAAAACCAGGTATTGGGTGCAACCTAAAAAAGAGGCGTAAAGTTAGATCTCTGGAAGTAGTAACAGATGTCAAAGACACCCGGCTTACAAGTTCATTTGTGTGAAAACGTGGATTGCTGCGTACGACTGCGCTATTCGCTGACACGAAGACTGTAATAATGCAACAACCAACGCCAACTACTGACTACGCAAACGCCACGTCTGGCTAGGCTGGACTCATTTATACTAGTGGATGCATTTGCATAGACTTGAGTTCAGCTTTAAAGGCTGTGAAGATCGACCCTGGCCTTCGCCCGACCGAAGTATTCCGCCTGGAGCTGCAGCGATGAACACAAAATCCAGGATGTGCAGAGCCGTTGTCCTGACATTACCCGTTTTTGAGGCAGAGGTGTGTGCTGCCTATAATGCCAGAGCACGAAAGCTCAGCCATGCATACTCCAAATATCCTTGAAGAACACTAAAGTTAAGTTAGCAGAAATGAATTCCAGACACTGAAATCCTGGAAAGAACCGCCGTCCTCTGTGTCCGCTGTATGTCGAGGCAGATAAAGCTGCGACAGAGCGTTAACATCTTGAAGATGGATGAAAACCGCCAGCCTAAACGATTATTCTACGGCGGCGCCGCTATGGCTGCTCGCTAACAAGATGGAAAAAAACGCCGATACAAGAAAACTTCGAATTCCTGTCCCATTCACCTGAAAATCGGCCCGGAAACCTGAGAAGGCAGCATTCAATATCGAAGGACGTGGTTCACTGTCGTAACGACTGGAGCAGATATTTTTGAGGTCAATCGCACAGCTGGTGCAAAAGAAATGCGAGATCCCCGCAGGACTAAAGGGTCACCGATCAGTGATCTAAGCGCCAACCTCGCCATTGAGTAAACGCTGTCAATGGAAATTCCGAGCAAGGATCCATATCGTTTAACATTTTCGGAACCAACCAAAAACGTCCAATATATCCTTTAACTGGCAAAATATCACCACTACCGGCACAAATAACATCGCCAGTGAGGACAACAGCATTCTGCAAAAAGCACCATCGTTGCCCCAACCATAAACAGTGTTGACTCAGTTTCAGCCTGTCCCACATGCAACTGCACATTTAAATCACACTTCAACCTGTTTGGTCACTTGCAAATCTACCACTTTTTGACTGGCGAACAATTGTCAGAGCCCTCATCAGTCATCTGTCGCTCCTGCCGTGCCTCTTCCCAATGCCCGTGACGTTCAGATGCGAATGGGTTTATCCGGCAAGGATCGCAGCCATGGAAATTTTCCGTGGGAAATGCACTCCAGATCCAGTCAATAATCTCATCCTACCCGCCAAGCATACATACAAATTTTTAACCATTTATGAATCTACGGCAAAACGCGAACCCACGCGCCACAATGCGTTCCTCTATACAGCAGTCGTGCAATTTGCCTTGCCACCGTTGATACTTCGGGGGAAACGTCCTAGATGTTTATAGTCAGTGCCTGAAATCATGAAACGCCAAACAAAATTCCGAAATTCTTTTTCGACCGGAAGGACTGCCTAAGTGGAGCAACGTAATTCCGTGGTATTTCAGACACGCTGAGGGTTGGCATTTGAATGCAGTTCATTTTGGCCGCCTGAAAAATCCGCACTTGTTAAAAATTTCTACTTAATTAATGGGACATTTATTCACTGATTTTGATGCCTTTGTAAATTCCATCATATTTTACAGAAAAAGTAAAAAAACACTATTTTCTAAATTCTTTTGTTTGGACATTATGTCTTCTCCTGCATTCATACCTGAAAAAAGGGTGCTTTTGACTTTGAAGCGGTTTCTACCCAAGAAATTTATTGAAACCTATAATGTTGAATTAAATAGTATCGTATTTGAGTTTTTCATAGTATTTCCCATTAATTATGCAACACAGTTAAACCCATCGTGTAATCTTATGAGACCTACATGGACGTTTTGCAATAGCATAAAGAAACGCTTGTTTTGTCTAAACGAGAAGTATACATTTTATGGTCTGAAAAACCTAAAAAATGGCAACAGAATATCGAATGTAAAATGATTCAGAAATATGAAAAACGCTTAAAGCAAAAGGATACCCTTTCTTAAATTATGAATTCAAGATCAAACATGATTTCCTACCAAATAACTATTAAAAATAATGTTTTTTATACATTTTCTGTACAATTTATTAAACATGGCTAAGGTATTAAAAATCGGTGAAGAAAGCCCATGGTCAGCTTTTGCCGGGTGCGGAATTTTCAGGCGACCGAAAATACATGCATATAAATCCAACACCCTGGCGCTCTATAGGATTATGTCGCCCAACTTAAGTAATCCCTTTTAATCGGAAATTTTGTTTAACATTTCATAATTTCGGTCACTGACTGTACATGCACATCTCATCCAGTCAGTGGGCACGTCCTTTAATGCAGTTTTGCCCACGTAATGCCTACCAGAGCGCGTGTTTTTCGCGTGGATGGGTCGTTTAACCTTGCTAGCCATTTCGCACGCGCCCAATTCCGGTCATCTTGACATCATCTAGTCATCAATGCAAAGTGGATGAGGCGATAAATTGTGCGGTAGATGCTGCGGACTTGTGCCCAGCCGGGGCTGTATCTACTCTGTGGAGCACGCGATGAATGCCCGTTGTTTTTTGAAGTAAACGTCTGTGTTCGCGTTGTAGTCGGTCAAGCCGCAAACCAGAGGATTTTAGGGTTTTCAACAAAAAGGACTTACTCTTATACTATGGGACATAAGGCAAAGACGGCACGCCGTGCCATAGATACATTAGGTGAGCTTACTCATGAAATGTCATCCGAAATTCCGAAATGCGTTTTCGTCTCGAAAAGATTTCTAAAGTAGTGTTGTAAAACTAGTCAGCCTGAAACATAATTCTATAATATTTCAGCTACCTCAGGATGCGAGCTTTCTAATGAGCTTCCTTTCGATTGAATGCAAAAACTACACTCTGTAAAAAACGACTACATAAGTTGCATAAGGTTGTCTCATTGATTTTCAGTGCCCTAAAAGTCCAATTATGTTTCGTGGAAAACATGCATAAAAATATTCATTCTTTTGCACAGTCGGTAGTTAGTTACGTCTTCTTCTAATTTTATACTTGAAGGAGAGACATAATTCGGTTTTCAAAAAGTTTATAATTGTGGGACTTTAAATACCGTGAAATGGCCGTTCATAAATCGTCATGTTTCTGTATCTACCAATGTGGCTGGTAAAGTTAACAATATGAATCAGCTTCACTGTTAAATCTTATGAACCCTATATGACCCCTCTTTGTTATTGTAGAGAAATGCGTGGTCTTCCGTAAGCGGAAAATATACGACCTGTAATTTTAAAATCCTGAATCCGCGTGCGAAGGTAGAGCGGGTTCAAAAATTATTCGGGAATTAGAAATGTTTTTAAAAACCAAATTATACTTTTCTTTCATGCATACAATTGAAAAAAAAGAGTTTATTTAATACCGAATAAGCAAAAATGAATATTTTTATGTACGTTTTCCATGAAATTTAATTGAATTTTTAAGAGCATCAAAAATCAAGGAGAAAGATGCATACTTTCTAGGTAATCATTTTTGTAGAGCATAGTTTTTGCATGCAACCATGAAGATATTCGTTCGAAAGCCAACATCGTGTGGTATCTGAAAAATTGTAGAATTACGCTGCTTGATAATTTGTTTTACAACACTATTTAATTAATATTTTCTGAACAAAAACCTATTTCAGAATTTAAGTTGACATTCCGTGAGCTAACAAACTTATTGTACATCATCTTTTGAAAATTACACGCTTTTTACATGAGTATGGGGATGTAGATCCATGCACAAGTCATGTCGCCATTGACGAGTTAGTACAATTTCCCGGAGCTGCCTTCGTCAAATTCCAGCAGGAACGCTCGGGCCGAACGCACACGTAGTCGCTTTCCATGGCCAAACAGATCAGAGGAGGCCCATACTGTGAACTTCTTGGATAAACAAAATGGTCATACAGGAATTTTTTTAATGCAGGGACGCTGAGTATAAATGTTTTGTGAAACTGATTGTTTAAGCCGTTCCTAAGTTTTGCCTCAAAGGTGGCCACAATCTCCTTGTGAACGGCATTCGTAGGAAATTTGGAGTATGAAGTTATCAGGGCTTAAGTTTTGGACAGTTATTAACACACGGCACTTCAAATGAAATCTTAATTGACAAGGCATTTTCTGGTACTTTAGGGACTTCGAAATCCCTGAGTTCGCAATTAAATGTGTACAAACAAATCTACTGTAGGTTAGCCGTCGCGTTGATCGAATGTCGGCGAGACTCGCATGCGATCGGACTTTTTATCACTCCCACCCAGCAGGAGAAGACTACCTTTTAAAGCATCGTTGAAATGTGCAGCCATAATAAAAACCAGTAAAGTCCTCGTTTAGCAATAACAAAAGCAAAGCTGCCGTTATCTTTGCATTTTCATACCTATTACTAGACCTGCGACATCCTAACAGGGATGTGAGTAGAAAACCAACTTGTAATCACGGCCCATATGGTGGTTGCAAGAGAATCTGCACATTCAACCTGATGCTCACCCAAATTTTGACCTCGACCTTCTTTGTACAGGAATGCTCGATGCAACTTCTGAGACAGTTTGCCAAAAAATATAAAAACACTATGTTTTCTTAAAGGTCATGCCGTTTTACTTACGCGAGTCATGTACTACTTCCCATTGGGTATACCTAATAGAAAATTAAAGGTAACGTAGCGATTTTAACTTCAAGATACATGAGAATATTGGTCTTTTTTGAGCAGATCCCCAGAAACATGGAACTGAAAATTGTCAATCAAAAACAATCATCTACTGGCAATACTAGTTCAAGATTTTTCCTATTGTGATCGCGAAATATGTAGGACATCATCAGGATTTTAACTAACAACAGTGCTGTTTCAGTCCACGATTAAGAATATTCAACAGCTTTGAAAAGATCCCATTTTACTTGGATGATGAAATGTATCACTTTGTATATTGTTCTCTTTTAGCACAAATATCCTGTATTTTGGCCTGCAATTAAGGCTACAGGGGAACCGATGACCTTCGGGACGATTACCGTCGAATTATTGGACACCATATCTGAAACAGAAAAGGGCCTTGGAGCTTTTTTGTTCACCGTCAAGAAAAAAGGCGCTTCTGCATTCAGTCCGGTATTTTTTGTTGTCTTTGTCTACTGAAAATACCATATTCAGTTGTATAACCAGCTTAGAAACTCTTGCTTGTGTTGTGGACTCAAATAGGTAGACTGAGAGTAATCTGACACAAATGTGATTAAACTCACGATTCCCGGTGTGGCTTCGTAGCTTATGTGCCCAGGGCCTTCCCCTGCTGTTGTGAGTTAGAATCCCACCGAGGCACCGAGTTTTTCACGATTGACTCAAATAACCAAATAAGCATGCCAATGTTTACCAAAACTGACACCCGCAAAAGCAGGTTTGATAAGGAAAGTTACCTAACTAAACAACTTAAACATAAATCCAAATTTTAGCTTAGCCTATAAACTCCCAATTTATTTACCAGGTAGTACTTTGCATCACATCTTATGAACTAACTCATAACCTGGCCGACTGGTCTGTCAGAAAACGGTACGGTCCTTGGCATTTGGCACTTAGATTTGACTCAATAGACATCAATCAAATTTGCTGCAACAAAACCCGAATACATGTCTCGTTTATTTTATACATTCTCACAACAAAACTGATGGAAGTTGGTTCATCACTTCAACTTAATTCGAGAGATTTGCAGTTTGAAAAAGAGGGGGTTGTGCTTTAAACCACTAATTTGCAACTTACTAGGTACTTGAACCGAAAACAGGTTTTTGAGGTTAGAAAAACTCTTGACCAGCGGCAGCATTCAGCTTCCGCCATATAATCTTGTAGCGTACCATCCAAAAATAAGTGATGTTGATAGCAGTTTTACTGTAACACTTCAAACATAGATACCGGCTAGAGCACGCCAACTGTTTTCGCCAATATCCCTACTGCTGTTGTGGGGTACAGGTACAAGAATTTGGTTTCCCAATGTTAGCTTTGGCGTCGCGGATGTAATTACAGGCATATATTCCGTTTAAACTGATAACTTTATAATATTTTTTCCAATAATTTTTAACCTTGTACTAACCTGTCAGAACCGTAATTTCTAGATTGCGCCCTAAGTTTGATGTGTGCTACGGATTTTATATCAGACAACTTTATTGCATACACCCACAATTTACATCTGGCTACTAGCACTAGAAGTGTATATGTGCCATCTCGCGAAATGTCAACCGAAATTCTGACATGTGCTCTCAGTCCGAAAAGACTACCTAAGTGGGGTTGTCGTAATAATTATATTGCAGGATAATCATAAAATATTTCAGTCAGCTCAGACCGTTAGTTGTTGAATTAGGTTTTTCTTGGTCGTCTGAAAAACTTCATTCTGTAAAGACCAGTTATTTAGGCACTAGGAACTCCCCATTTTTTCCGATGTCAATATAAATGCAGTTATATTGTGAATAAAACGTGCACAAAAATGTATGCTTTTGGACTCGTGAGGAATAGAATGTTCATGCATATTTTCCATAGCATATAAAAAAATGCATAAGAACATCGAAAATAATGGGACGTTTTCAAGCTACATGGGTAGTTACATTTAACAAATATCATTTTATGAACGGCCGAAATGAGGCTCATTCAAAAGCTGACATCACAGCGTAACTAAGCGATCTAGTGATTATACTGCGAGGTTAGTATTCTTACGACCATACTTACAAATCTTTCTTACTCGATGACATTTTGGAATTTCGGTTAACATTTCGTGAGCTAAGTATTTCGAATATTGCTGCCAACTGCATTATACAGACGATAAAGAGGAAAAAGGTCAAGCGGCGATAAACGTTTTTAAAAAGTCTGAATACATAAGATGATACCAGCGCCGAGTTTTCATAAAATATTTGGAATTTCGATAAATAGTGACATTTAATCACTGGTGGGTATGACGTCAGTAGAAGAAAGTTATCCTATATTTTTAAGGTAGCAGATATAGTAGCATTTGCTAAAATGTTTTGCCGGTTTCCGATAAATTGTGGTTATGTTTTTTGTCGGCCCTTTCATATATGCAGGATGAGGAATTGTAAAATGTCTTGACCTCTGAGAAGGCTTTTGGGATATGAAGGCTGGTAGACAAAATATCCGCATTTTATTCAAGCAACTAATATACTCAATATTTTTCGATCGCTGCCTTGGATTTTGAAGTGGCATGATACAATTAGAAACCTTTACAAGATAATGCCAATCATGGCATAAACTTTGGCTCCAAATTTAGGTCTGGTACACTAATGTTTTTTCGATGTTGGATGCATTTTTTTATTTAATTAGAGTCATTACTAAAGTCGTTCAGTATATGTTAGTGTCCAAAGACACAACGTCTAAAGAATGCTCTATCAAACATAGCAGTTTGATAACAGTCTTTCTTTAATTTGACATTATACGACTGGAGGAAATAAAAGCATAATGAAATAGAACAAAGCGAAATAGAACGAAACAGAACACAGCACCCTCCTGTCACTGTATATACCCGACTGTAATCAACAGGACAATGAACCTGCAACTGGATGGCAAAGACGGTGGGTCACTAACTAAACAGGTGACGAGCTTGTGCCTCAGGAGTCCCAAGAACGTGGGGTTCGGTACGACTGGCTAATGACGGCTAATAATCCAGAAATGACCATTTTTATCTCCCTTGTTTTCGTTGCTAATTTTACTTCCTATAATACTAGTTGCTGTCCTAGTGTTGGCGGGGCTCGAGAAGGAATACCTAATCAAAAAGCGGTACGTGTGTCCCATAACGCGATCGGTGAGCGCCCCTTCGCCACAAAGTAGAAACTGCCAAATTATGGTGGAGAAAATAAAAGGTTTTGTCCTATTGCCGGGCCCGCAAAATAAGATCACTGCCAGAGCTGAAGTCAGCGAAAACGTCAACACGAGTCCTCTTGTACTTTAGTCCCACGGGTTGCGTAGGAGATTAATAGATACAGTGTAATTTGCACCCTTTAATCTCGAACATTCTAAACCATCTATTGTTAGTCTACCACGCCTGAAAACCAGCTTACCTAATAGATAGAAGCTCCCAAAATCCACTCAAAGCAAAGAGTCGGTTATTGTTGTTAAAAACGCAACTTTTTTGGTCCTCTTATTCTTACATATTATATAAGAGCTTAAAACGCAGCCAAGTTCAGCATACGACCTATGCAGATCCTGGTTTACAGCCCATATATGTGCCTTACGATGCTTCTGCTGCTAGATCATGCGACTTTGAAAGGTTTTACAAGCCAGCAGATTACACAGCGTCAACTTTTTAGCTTCTGGAAAACAAATTACGGATTAACATGGGGTTTATTTTGCAGGTTACTATGGGAGAACTTAGGGTTAAGTAACGGGGAGTTTAGTGCGAGTAATGTTGTTTAAATTACGGCAAAAGTCACAGTCGCATTACACTAGACTACCAGTAGTGCTCGTTGGTTTCGAAATAACCGTCACGTGATTACTTTCCAGAAGTCGGTTTTATTTGACCTAAACGTACTTTAGAATTCTGAAGCTGACCCTAAAAGTTAATTCTCTTGCACATAATTCTTAGTCATTCTTTTAATAAGTTTCCACAGTATTAGCTGCATATGCATATACATTTTTGTTTGTATTTGTATGTGCACGCAACGTTTCAGCGATTGTAAATTCGATTTCTGATTTCTCTTAATTTATGACGCAAGACCGCTTCCGAAAGACCATAACTAACCACTCCTCAAATTAAAGTAAATTATACTCTCCAAAATTGTCAGCGTAGGTGTAATAAACGATGGAAAATTGTTGCCGGACTTCATACCAGCCGTCTAAATGGTTTGTAATTATGTGGAAGAATTGGTCGGCAAACTTACTTAATAAGAGAACAGACGCCGACGCCACTTTTGTCCCTGAAATATTCTTTATTTTTTGTATGTTCGCAATCGAGTCCCACTACCGCGACTAAAATGTAAACCGGAGCAGTCGCCTCTAACTTTGTCGCTTTGATTAATCAGTAAACGGCACTTTAATATAGCTTTCAGATTCCCATTTGCATCGCTCAGCACATAGGTCTTGGCTTAATTTCTGTACTTCGGCATAAGTGATCAGATGGGTTTGTGGTTTACCATAAATCAAGCGTGTCTTATAGTTTAATCACAGTCGAGGAAACATTTGTTTGCATATTAGGCAGTATAAACCTCTTCAGAAGCCCACACTTCCTTTTTTATCTTGAAGACTTAAAATATGTAAAAAACGTAAGGGTGTATATGGTGATAGCTAAATACTACACGACACCGTTGTTAACCCCTCGAATTAACATTTTCGTTGGCTACAGCTGTTCAAGGTATCGTATGGGCAAAATGGACTTCATGTGGGATTTCAAGGATAAAAACGCCAAGGCTCAGTTTACTGTACGGGAAATTTAGCCGTCATATTATGCCTATGAAGGTAACATTACAAATTCCCTGCACAGTTGTTACTTTGATTATCCGTTCCGCAAACAGAGGCTAAAGTTGTATCTTATGGGCGAAATTGCCTTTTTCCTGTCAAAACTTCGGAATTTCGCCGAACCTCCGCCTCCCCGAAGTAATACATATCATTATGTCAAGTTATCTTTCCTTATTAGATGGTTGTTTTTTGTTTCAGTTTATTTCTAGCAGAAAAGAAAACGTAAAGCGCGATTTGGTCTTACTACATTGTCTGACTTGGCCGAACGAAGCGCAGCAGCCGAAGTCTTGTGACGCTCTCGTAAGACTGGCATACCTTGCGCGTGAATGGAACGCTGTATCTGACGCGACAAATCCCATTCTCGTTGTAAGCAAGTACGTGAATTATTCTTCAAGTATACCTAACAACAGTCAAGGAGATCTATGTTAGGGCTTCCAGCTGCATGGTTAATTGGACGAATATCTTTTCATTTTTTAAGTGACGGTGTTTCTCGGAGTGGTGTCTTCTGTTCAATAAGCATCTGCATGGACAGATTGCTTTCCGAATCAGAAGTTGATGTGTTTCGTGCGGTAGAGACTGTGAAGCGGAATCGACCTCAACTAGTGGAGAATGTGGTATGTTAAGTTGCATTATCCAAGAGTTCCTGTGCCGTGCTCGGCCATTAGACATGCTACCCTCTTTTGAAAATTGAGATTTTCTGCTGTCATAAAATTACGGACCCGCCCACTTTTCACTTCAAGCAGCAAGCAGCGTTAGACGCAATTTCGCTGACTGGGCTAACACCGATGAAATAATTAAGTACAAACCAATTTATTCGAACCCATTAGTTTCCATGACAGTAAATGGCTAGCTGCTTCAAATATGTATGTTTTACAGTTGGACATCGCTTAGTGAGATGTCTTTCAAGACTATGTGGTTCGATCGCTTTGTCTTTTTTTATGCAAGTTTATCTGCCAAATGTCTATTTTCGCAGTATCTATAGCAAAGTTCCGATTACGTACTGGTCAGGATATCCATTAGCCGTAGTTCCCGATGGTTTCAAACTTTGTTATAAAACATCAAGCTCATAAAGATCTTGGTCCGTCTTTGTCTTTTGTACATTTATCCTTGGTATATGGCAGATCACAAGACGATGTCGATCATCCCAAGTATGACCGTTGCTCCCGTTAGGTTACTGTTAAAAACGCTCAGAGCTTAACTGTAGCACTTCATTCGATTTGTGAGTTTCCTGTTTTTCTCTGCAGTCCGTGCCCTATAAATGCAAGGCGTACGCATAATGACTTAGATTGAAGGCCAATTCTACTCCTTTTAGTGAAGGCAATGTAGACCTCTTACTAAGCAGAGACGGAATTAAAGGACTGACCTATACTTTACGTCTTTGTACCTTTGGAGACTTATACTGCACACCCACAATTCCGCAAAAGAGAGGACGGAACTTGACTTTTAGTCCTTTGTTGCTTTTATCGGATGTCCCCATCCCATTAAATTTGCATTTAAAGGATCGAATGATCAAGATATTATTGCAGTTTTCCGGGGGACCAGAGCTCGCTGTTATGGGGAATGCACAAGTTTGCTGTTGTACTTTTACAAATCAGAAAGATTTTTAAAACCACTTTTTGCTCATAGAGTCTACATATCTTAGAGAGGGGAACTGCAAACTTTCTGACTAACAATACAATTGCGGCCAAGAATCATGCTATCCGCAAATTACCAGTAGTCTGTTCAACAGTTGGCGGTTGCGCATATCAAACATTGTAAGTTTGCTTTAGTAACATCAGTAGAATTCGTGCCACAGAAATTGTACTTATGATTAAGTCAAGCGTAGTGTTATATTGCAAACACGAGAGATCTGATGAAGGGAATGGTTATTTGACTTTTTGTTCAAGAAGTTTAACCAACATTTTAGGAGACACAAAGTATATCGTTTGAGTTCTAACCTGCCTTTGCTAAATACCCGCAATGCCTGCAGAGCCAATTAAAGGAAGACTTTACTGTGCTTGGTCTAACTGGATAATCTAGAAATCTTCCACAAGGCAATCAAGCAGAAAGCTTTCGCACAATAGCCAACTTTTCACAAAGTTCTCCGTGCTCAGTTACCAACTATGCCAAACGTACTATCTATCGGGCTAGATTGTGATTTATTCATGCTTTTGTACTCGATCCGGTTGTAACCGCGTCTCGTTTAGTTCAGCCCAAGTTATTGCAGCTTTACTGTCAAAACCCGAAGCGCTGCAGCAGCGGGCTCACTGAGCTCGATCCTATCTTTTCTTCAGTATAATAGGTCTAAGTGTTAACTCGAAGTCTTGAAAAATTTTGTCATCATGTTTTAGCTCATTTTTTTTCACCTCCACTTAGGTGACAGCGCCGAATTTGAAATAACGACAGTATAAGAATATAACCAAAAACACATAGATAGTCAAAAGAAGAGGAGGCGTTCACTTGATATGCCACCCGGGAATCGCATTTTCACCATTATAGACACATAGAATGATTTAACCTTCACAGATTGCATTGAGCAAATGTGTTCTGTAAAGACGTTTCGGTGTAATTATGAAATCCAGGTATCCTCAGGGTCGCTTGAGAGTCCTGGACAAACCTTTCCAACCACATCCGACGTAGGATAATTCAAGAGCACGTATGATATTGGACCACTAGTGGGAAAATATTTTTATTTAATTATTCGTTCATGTGTCAAACGTTATTAGACGTAAGACGTTATTAGGACTCAAAGGCAGGATGACAATGCCTCAAGCTTAATTAGAAGCCACAAGTATGCTGCTGGAAGAAACGCTATGCCCTTTAAATTCAGTTCAACCCAATTAGTGGCGCAATTAAATGGGACGGACTCTATGATCCATTCTCTTTTAATCGATCTTCCGGATACCTAGTTATACTAAAGAAAGGATTTCCGTGAGCATAAAATTGACCAGATATGCACCCATAGCCATTAACGTCATCAGAACCGCCTTTAATGCTCATTTGCCACAGGAGATTGCGACTAAAAGACCTAAACCTCGGACAGTGTGGGTTGCTGTTGGTTTTGGAGGATTTATGAAATACGCACTACGAGTATGTTTCCATATGTTAGTGCCTAGTCGGGATCTTGGTTTCTCAGGCATCACTGGGGAATCAAGAGTACTCTGGAAATGTCTGATAAGTAATATGCAAAACCGTAAACCTTAAGGTTAATATGGTCATTTCGAGATGGTTTTTAGCTGTCCCTCTTGATTGTTTGTTAAATCAGAAAAAAGGCTTTTCGAGCCCCATAAAAAAAGATCTCGACTGCGCGTAATTTGCGCAATCGGAACGTTAGACCGTTAACCCAAATATTGTTCATGCCAGGAGGAACGCAGCCATTTCAGTAGACCTTGTGTTTAAGTCATCCCAGGATTGCGCACCTCTATTAACACAGTGGTTTTAGTTCTACTTTACGAATGTCGATAAGCTACTCGGCCGTGGGGTATGCGGGACGTTTGGACGGCTCGCAAGGCCGCGGATATCCAAGGGTACGCAAACCGCAATGAATATAATTTCTTCTCCGCGGTCTAGGCTGTCTACAGCCGGCCAACCAAAGGAAGTGAACATCTTCTCAGCGCCGACGCCAGTACCATACTCACCGAGAAAACACAAATGCTTCAGAGGCGTTCTCAACCGCACCACCACCATCTCCGACGCCGCCATCGTCTGTTTGACTCAAGTGAATCCCAACGCTGACCTCGACCTTCCGCCCTCCCTACACGAAAACATCAGGTCGTGCAGCAGCTCTCCAGCGGGAAAACGCCCGGATTGGACGCGATCTCTGCTGAGATCTATAAGCACGGCAGCCTCCAACTCATGGATCATCTGACCCTGCTCTTCAAAGAGATGTGACGTTAAGGAGAAGTCCCGCAGGATTTCAACAACGCCAAAATCGTCCACCTCTACAAACGGAAAGGGAACCGCCAAATCTGCGACAACCACCGAGGCATTTACCTGCTGGACATCGCTGAGAAGATCCTCGCTCGCATCCTCTTCAACCGCCTGAGAAAACATTAGGAGCGGGATCTTTTGTCGAAAGCCAGTGCGGCTTCCGCCTTCATCGTTGTACCAACGACACGATCTTCGTCGCCCTCCAGCGGCAGGAGAGGTGTCAGGAAATGTTGGCTCAACTTTACTCAACCTTCTTGGATCTGACGAAAGCCTTCGACACAGTGAATCGTGAAAGACTGTGGAGAAGCATGCAGAAATTTGGATTTCCCGAACGATTCACTCAGATGGTGCGTCAGCTCCACGATGACATGATGGCGCGAGTCACGGACAATGGAGCTGTCTCTGAAGCATTTTCACTGATCAACGAATTGGAGCAGGACTGCGTCATCGGGCCTACCCTCTTCGGTCTCCTGTTCTCTGCCATGCTAATGGACGCCTACCGTAACGAATGACCAGGAATCCGCGCCGCCTATAGTACGGACGGCCAACTGCTCAATCGTCGGAGGATGCGCTTTCAACTGCGCGTCTTCCCTAACCACTGTCCAGGAACTTCTGTCCGCCGATAACTGCGCCCTCAATGCAACTACTGAAGGAGACATGTAAAGGAGCATGAATCTGTTCTCCGTCACCTGAAAAAACTTCGGCCTGATCACCAACTCGGAAAAGGCGGTGTTCGTGGATCAGCCACCTCCCAAAACTGCTCGCAATTTGCCGCAAATAGGCGTAAACGAAACCCAACTGCGAGTGATGAACGACTTCACATATATGGGCAGCATTCTCTCCCGCAGAACTAAAACTGACGATGAAGTGACTCGTTGGATTTTCAAGGTCAGTCTTGCATTTGCTAGTCTTCATAATACAATTTGGACACGTTATGGTCTTCTACTCAGCAAGAAAATGAAGATGTACAGGGCCGTCGTCCTACGACGTTGCTGTATGGAGCTGAGACCTTGCCGGTGTACATGAAGCAGGCACGCCGACTCAACCACGTCCATCTTTTTTGTCTTCTTCAAATACTGAAGCTAAGTTGGCAGGACCGAATCTCAGACAAGGGCTTACTGGAACGGACGGGAATCCTTAACATCCACGATATGCTGAGATAGATAAAACTACTCTGGAGCGGCCACCTCGTACGGATGGACAACAAGAGGCTACCCAAACGATTTTTCTCTGGAGATTTCGCGACGGGTTCATTCCGACAGGGGAGCCAAGTCCGACGCTACAAGGATACTCCGAAAACCTCCCTGAAGTGCCTACAGATAAACCCGGCCAACTGGGAAGACCTCGTCCGGGACCGAGCTACGTGGAGGAGAACAGTGAAGATAGGCGCGGCAATCTCCTAAGCCAACCGCATCTCCGCCACCAAAGCCAAGCGCGGGACATGCAAAGCTCAACTGCCACCGACGCCTCACAATGCCAACGCCCAACCGCCTCCAAGGTGCCACAATGTAGACGGACACTCCGGGCGCCAACTGGGCTTGTCGTACACCTCCGGACCAACTGCAGCGCCCGGACTGCACCAACCGTCGTCGTTCCGTTCCCCTCTCCCTCGTCTCTCGTGCTATCAAAATAACGTTGATCGCCCTCCCGAACCACCACTACCATCATTCTCCTCCTCCTCCGCCGCCGCAACGTCCGCCGCTGTGGCGTCTGCCGTGCCCATCAACACTGCACATAATCCCGACACACCAACAAACACCACCACCACCACCACCACCACCACCACCACCACCACCACCACCACCAACACCACCACCACCACCGTCAACACTAGTAATGAGGACCTTGTCTATACGTTTTCTCATTGCGACTGCATCTCCACCTCACACATCAGCCTGGTGATCACTTGCGAATCCATCGCACAGCAACTTGTGAATCAGTGCCTGGAACCCTAGACTGCACGCGCCACATCCGCCTCCACTGTCCACACTGACCTCGTGCATTTATGCACTGCATAGGGCTCTTCGAGCACATGCGTATCCACGAGGGCAGGATTGACCGCAGCCCCGACACACCTAGCACATCCAGCATACTCACCACGTCTAGCCCCACCCACACTTCGTCACCCAGAGGGGCTGCCTACTGTAGGGACGGGTTAGTCTGAGGGCTTCCTTGCTCCCTTGTTAGACACGTTTTTTTGTCATGCAGTATCTGATCAGGTTTTGCAAATGCTTTGCGACCAGCTGGTCATAATCTTTGTGTACGTAATGAGGCAGAAGTGCATTGGTCTAAAGAAGGTCAAGGTGCCTGTTTGGGGGGTCGACATTTGGATACCACTTCTCAAGTGTGGGTCGTTCTGTTCCGGAGCTATCATGGTCGAAGTTGGTGGTCAAGGATATCATTAGTTTCTTCAATGTGAGATACAAGCTGAGAGTCTAGGCCTAGCCTCAGATTTTCCCTTTTATGCTCGTACATGCCGTTGTACAATTTTCGTACGGTTTCCCTAACATAGTTGCGGTCCCCGCAATTAAAGCTTATTTTTCAGATAATTGTCATAGTCTTTGTGAGTGGGAAAGTGTTCTTAGGCATAATCAACCAAAAATAGTGTCATTTGAGGCAGAGGATACGTTTTCTGACTTCTGTATACTATGCGAATGCGGGTATTTAATGTTTGCCGCTAATACTTCTTACTGACACGTGAACAACAAAGTTATATTGAAATGATATGCATTTGGGAATAACACTTTGGCCAAGAATATATCCTGAATGCCCAAAAGTGTCGAAAAAAGTGTCTTTATGTTGATACCTATATCAGAAGTGTTCCTTAAATTAATCAATCGAGAGCAGGTTGGCAAGGAACCAGTACATTTTGGAGAAGTTTTTAGAAGTGAATCTGTCAACTAGTTTAGCATTTATTTAAAAGTTTTGCACTTAGTGAACATGCGCATTGTTTAACATGGCCAATTTGCTGGCATCATCCACTAAGAGCACAGTACAATTACCGCGTGTCAGTTTTGTTCTTTAGAATTAAACGAAGATCAGATGTTGGCGAGTGATATTCCAATCGTGGCTTTAGGCTTTAATGATTAGAATCATCATTTACAATTTTCTACCTGGTGATTCGCTGTACCCCATAATAGCATCTTAGAGGCCCATGTGCTTTTGGTCATTAACAGCAGTAGTGAATGCTTACTAGGCATCTATCGGTGAGTCAACGAATAGCTATTAAATAGGTCTCAGTGCAAACTGTATCTAATGCAGTCTTTGCCTTTGAAAACTCTAGGATTGTAGAAGAAAATGGATATTTTACACTATACGCACCAGATGTTATTGCTACTATAGTTGTAAACAGTTAACACAGGCACTGTAAAGTACAAATCATGCTTCGTTGTTAGAGTTTTCTGATACATTGCTTTGATCGTATTGAATCGAACGTTGATTATAAAAAGAACACTTAACATGATTCTTTTGACCTAAATTTTAAATTTCCCTGGCCATTATCATAAAGCCCAAATGACAAAGCTCTGCTCTTACATTCCGGCTAGTTTGGTATTTCAGGTTTAGCAGGTGGCGACTATGAAAGGATGAGAAAATGAGTAATATACTAAGCACATTTTTAACTATGTATAAAAGACAAAAGTTCAGTTCAGTTTATTGAGGGAAATGTAGGTCTTCACCTTTGAACTCCCTATTTGTTTAAAAGCAACTGCAAAATCTCAAAAACTCGAAAAGGTATAATAAAGGAACAAATAATCGGAAAAGCGTCAGGTCTGTACAGACAAACAAGCTGTCTCGAATTTTAGTGGTACGAGCAGTTGTAGAGCTGTCGTTTCGAGTGCAGCGAAATAAATAATATATCCGGTGACAAAATTTGCATCTGTGCATGTCAGGAAGCGTAGGCGATGGGTTGGCACAATAATAAATTCAATTTAAAATGTTACTGCAATATAGCAAGTAGTATTATAATAACGGAATTTGTCAAGGTTACAGAGATCGGGGTGGTAATTTAGTGGACACTGCGACACAAATCCAGCTTCCTCTTAAAGACCTCGACGGAAGCAGACATAACGACATCCACAGGCAGGGCATTCCAGGCTTCTAGCACTCTGTTGGAGAAAAAATCAACATAATGTCATACAACTCGAACAAAATGAAAATCTTAAGTACGTAATCACTTACTATTCGTTGCCTTCTTAAACTTTAACGTGGAATACATTGACTTTTGAGGGTGAGGATCATTTGTATGCCCCCTGGTAGGACAAGGGAGTAAAGACGCACTTCTCCATGATGCAGGCGACCTTGTGGTTGATTCCATGAAGGTTGACTATTCACGTGTCCTAGTCTCAACTCTAACTTTTATTCAAAATTAGGCCGGATCGTAATCTTAACCCCTGCCCTACCTTGAAACTGTACCCCAACCGCAAACTTTACTTTAATCCTGACTCCAATTTTCCTGCCAATGAGCGCCATGCCGCCTATAGTACAAGAGGTTTTTATTTCTATGTCCTGCTGCGGATCCTCAGTTTCAACAATTTCAGAAAGTTTCCTATATTTTATGGTGTTAACGCCGACTCTAATAACCCCATTACTGGGCGCCTCGGTGGACACCGTGGCTGCTGTATATGTAACGTGTTTAATTTATTCAAAAGATGCTACTTAAACAAGTTCAGCACAAAGTTTATAGCAGTGAATAGGCAAGCAGTTCGGAAGTCTACGAAGTGTAAAGCCTGGGCATATAAGCACCATTCAAAGACCACCAACGACTACTCTCCATTACTCTGTCATGTAGGTCATGCTGCCATATCCCTAGACGTCAGGTAAGGGGGACAAACTAAAGTCTATGCAAACAGTCCACTGTACTGTTTAATTGCTAATCTACGGGACTGGGACAAGTGTTGATACTCAAGTGTGTTGTCGAAGTGAATCTTGTTCAAGAGGCCATACCGATTTTCGACTTTAATAGTACTACTACGTTGTGGTCCATTAGGCAGCAGAATACGCATGGGCCACCCCAGTCGTTCTGAATCGTGAATAAGTTTCAGTGGTATTAATAGTCATGCCTCACGATTCGGCGGTTATTCTAGGCAGGTGCCACTCGTCTACAGTCACAACACTCAGGCCAAATATATTTGATTTATTGTAATGAACATTTTGACAAATTTTTTATCCCTAAGACACACTTTTTTCCGAAAATCATAAATTATTTCTTTTATCCCTTGTCAGTTCTATTTATGTGTAAGGATTAATTCAAGCTCGTTTTCTAATCTGAAACTCGCTTATTGCTTTAGCGTTGTTGTCCATTAGATGTCTAGTTGGCTTAGAATTGCAACTTTTTCTGTTGCGCATATTTTGCAATATTTTATAGACATTTATTACCAGTTAACTTATAAAGACCCTTCTATGGCATATCAAAGTACTTTGCTTTGGGCCTTGTAAGCTAAAGCCCCTACATATACTGTCTTCATCCAGAACCCAGATTTTGCTTATATAATCATAACATTTTATAAGGCCAGTTTTGACTCTGTGAAATCGCTAACTTTTATGAATCCTGACACGGCCTACGACAGAAATTTAGGAACTATTAAATATGCACGTTCTGACTGTCGAATTTGCAAAGTATGTTCAGTTGCTGCAGTAAACTCAACCGGGAAAGATAACTATTAGATCATACATGGAATGCCAGGATCGAATTTAAAAAACCTTTAACTCTTACTCAAAGAGATTTCTTCGTCTTCGTCTAATTTTGCAACTGAAAAATGCAGAGTTGTACTGCGTGACAGGTAAAAATTGATGAGATTAACATATTAGTCTGTTTTCACCCAAGGCGCACAGATAACTCTTTAACATATATTATACTCTATGAATAAAGGAGCTCAGAATATAAAAGCGCACGTCAGCCCAAAAGCAGATGAGATCTGGATGAGATGACCAGACGTTAATTTCAGCCTTATAACAATCCTTCAATAGAGCGACGTCATATTTGGTTTTGGCTTTCTAAGAGTAAATAAGCAGCATTTTCTGAGTTAGTTGAAATTTCCTTTGTTTACTTTTAGCAGGTGTTTTAAAGCAAATTCTAAGTGATCATTAACAAATTTACCATCTGAAATAGGTAACAGTGCTTTCGAGTGGAATAAAGATGTTTTTACTATTATCTAATACCGCAACTTTCCTCTATGAATGACCGCCTGTGCCCACAATTTTTGGGCAGTTCCTAGGACGGCTTACGCTCTCATTCTTTAAACTTCCAACTGACCTGATTTGTTAAATTCAATAAACTCTAGTAAACAGATGCTTTCAATTGCGGTCGCGTTTAAGCATAATTACTGATGTAGCTAAGTCTTTAGGATGTGGGTGCACGCAGCGAAATCTTCAGATTGTTTGTCGATAAAAATATTAATGAATCATAATTCTTATATGAAAGAACGCAAAGCGTTCTCGCATTTTTTTTGCCAATCATGAAAATTTGTTTATTTGCTTGCTTGACCGACGAAAGAACCTAACTTAACTTTAAACACTTTACTCAGATGTGATTGTGTTAGTGTCCTCTCTGTGAATATATAACTGTACTATCGCTGGTTATCAGCCCCCACTAAACTTCTTATCTACATAACGGACAGCGTTTGAGTGTTTTTCGAATGCGTTCTGAAATACAGAAGCCTTAAATCTGTCACATAAGGTTTTAAACATGGAGCCCAGTGTGTTGATAATACCCATATACCTCAGACTGGAGGCGTTTTTTCTTAAAAGGTGAATAAGTGAATGCATTTCTCAAAGATGCTAATCGACCATTGTCTCATACTGCTCGCCCAAAAATCGTTTTTTTAATTTTACAGTTTTTTATGTAGGAATCACCTTTCAAATTTACAATTTAGGATTATTTACGAATATTTTTGAGGTTTTTCACCATTCTTCGGGACAATCTGCTTTACCACATATTATGTATCCGTTTTTAAGG